CTCTTGATGATCTATAATACTTAAAACAATGTAAATAGTATGAAAATAGTTGTTAGGTACATTGTTTAGGGAGTAACAAGACAAAAGTCTGCATGTATTTGGTGCAGATGGAATTTTAAAAAAATATTTTTGAGCAAGGAGCGGGTGGCTCACATCTGTAACCCTAGTTACTCAAGAGATTGAGATCTGAGGATTATGATTCAAGGCTAGCTCAAGAAGAAAAGCTTATGAGATGTTTTAATTAATCAGCAAAAGTCAAGAAGTGGAGGTGTGTTTCAAGTGGTAGGCACCAGCCTTAAGCAAAAAGCCAAGCAAAACTGGGCACTGGTGGCTCACGTCTGTAATCCTAGTTACTCAGGAGGCTGAGATTTGAAGATTGTGGTATGAAGCCTACCTGTCAGGAAAGTCCATGAAACACTTTATCTCCAATAAACTACTCAGAAAAAGCCAGAAGTGGCACTGTGGCTCAAGTGGTAGAGTGCCAGCCTTGAGCAAAAGAAGCTCAAGGACAGAACCCAGGCTTAGAGTTCAAGTCCCAGGACTGGAAAAAAAAACACAAAAAGCAATGGGCCAATACGGTAAAACATTTTAAATATCATCAATTAATTCCCAAATAAGGATCAGGACAATCTCAATAGTGGATCTGATAAATAATCTATTACTCTAAGAACAATATAATTAATTTGATTAGTTTGTAATATAATTTGTGACTCCCTTATTGGTCATATGATATTTCCCTTGGGGCTACTGTTACATCACATATAATCAAATACTATTAACCACGTTGAGTTATGGTATTTACCCCAGTAGACTGAGAGCTTTTTGACTTAGTCATCTCTGTATCTCCAATGTATAATATATAGGTGCTCAATAAATATTATTGAATTAAAATTAATGAGCCTGAAGTAGGCTAACCAAAGTATTGTTTCATAAGGTCTGAAGTTTATCTCAATGAACATCAGAATGGATTCACCCTGCTGTACTTTAGGGATATATAATGGACTAATGTTTGCATGCAGTTCTATTTTTCTATTTGTTCAGCATTTCTTTGGTGCCAGTTCTTGGTCTCCAACTCAGGACCTGGGTCCTGTTCCTGAGCTTTTTTTCCCCCACAGAGCTAGTTAGTGCTTTACCATTTGAGTCATAGCTGCACTTCTGGCTTTTTGGTGGTTAATTGGAGATAAGTGTCTCATGGAGATTCCTGATTGGGCTGGTTTTGAATCGGGATCCTCTCAGTAGCAAAGATTACAGGCATGAGCCACTGGCACCCAACTGGTTTTAAATTTTTTATGTTTATGATTTATAGCCAGCAGCTAAAAACAAAAAAATATGAAACCGAATTAAGGACCTTCTCACTTTATCCTCATAGGGTAGATGGAACAAGACTTCCCTGGGACTTCTTTTATAAAGGCATAACACCATGCATGAGCACTCATCCTATGGCCTAATCAGTTCCCAAAGATGTACCTACTAATTGCATCTCTTTTGGGGTTAGGATTTCAATATATAATTGGGGGGGGGGGCTAGGAAGGTGGCTCAGTGGTAGAGCATTTGCCTTGCATGCTTGAGGCCCTGGGTTTGATTCCTCAGCACCACATAAGAAAAAAGCCGGAAGTGGTGCTGTGGCTCAAGTGGTAGAGTTCTAGCCTTGAATTGAAGAGCTGAGGGACAGCGCCCAGGCCCAGAGTTCAGGCCCCACGACCAGACCCCCCCCAAAAATTGGGGGGGGCCACAAACATTCAAATGATAGTAGCCACAACTCTAGTCCCTGCTACTAAGTTTTAAATCAACAGATTATTTTCTTTATTTTTTGTCTTAATTACAACACTTTTATTTAGGGGGCAAAGGGGAAAATGAGATACTTTTGGCTAGTGTGGAAAGACAAGTATATGGAAGGAGGACCATCTGTGTGTGTGTGTGTGTGTGTGTGTGTGTTCTCATTCTAAAGTTGTGTCATGGTTAATGCAATGATTTCCCTATGATATTCCCACTTTAGAAACGTGCTTACAAGAGCTATGTCCGAGCCCTCCCTCTGCTGAAGAAAATGGGCATTAATTCCATCCTTCTCCGAAAAAGCATTGGTGCCCTTGAAGTAGCCTGCGGCATAGTCATGACCCTTGTGCCTGGGCGTCCCAAAGATGTGGCCAACTTCTTCCTCCTCTTGCTGGTGCTGGCTGTGCTCTTCTTCCACCAGCTGGTTGGTGATCCTCTCAAACGCTATGCCCATGCCCTGGTGTTTGGAATCCTGCTCACTTGCCGCCTACTGATTTCTCGCAAGCCTGAAGACCGATCTTCTGAGAAGAAGCCCTTGCCAGGAAATACCGAAGAGCAACCATCCTTATATGAGAAGGCCCCACAGGGCAAAGTGAAGGTGTCTTAGGAACAGAAGTGCACAGTGGGGACATTCCAGGCAGTTGCCTCCGTGACACCCAGGAAGATGTCAGTGTGTATTTTTTATTTGATTTATTTCTCTTGGAGGAAAGGGAAATTTATCATCTGCAAGTTAATTGGCTTGTGTACAACTATACCGTAAAATGAACCCCTATTGACATTTGTGCTCCACCTTTAATCACTCTGAGGCAATGCTCACATCTTGCTGCATGTACATGTATACGGCTACTATTGAAGTGTATTTGTGAGATGGACTCCAGCAAGCATGTGACTGTGAGATTCTGTGTGGGAAAATGTATTTAATTACTGTGTGTGTGCACTCATGTACATACGTGTATGGAGAAGGCTTTGATCTTGAACTAATCCTACACAGGTATCCTTCCTTCCCTTATAAACTGATTCCAGCAAAGGTAGAATAAACCTCCTATAAAGAGAGTCCTACATTTCCTATAAAGCAAGTGATCTAGTCCCTTATGAGAAGATCCTTCTCTAAATTAAGCTGAAAACTTAATCTCACCACTATAGAAAAAAATATTATTTTAATTAAAAAACAGTTATATATAAAACTACTCTTTACACTGAAGTTAAGTTTTAAACACTCCATATTTAGTTTAATTACCAAAGGATACGTGCTGTCAATAGTCTCATTCTTCAAGTGAAAAAAATAGAAAGTTTCATCTTGCCCTAAGCTCTTTGGCTAACAATTTGAAACTAAAGTAGTACATTTATTACCAGATATCATCTCCAGATTTTCTTAAGCCCAAAGCTGCCTCTCTTCTCAGTGGCAGCTGAGGGATTGGTCCTGTTCCAACCTCCAACAGTGTTCTCTGGAACCTGAAATTTAACAGAGAAGCTATATCCAGTGTTACCCTGCCAAACAGACTTGTGTTCCAACTGATTCTTTTACTGAAATTTGCTAGTGTATTTGGAGTCTAAACGACCCTGGAGTTGTCTCCTCTATACCTCTTTATCATTCTGTGGGAGAGTTTAGCTGGAGGAAGGACAGTTAACATGGGTTAGTTGGATTGAGCAGTATGGAAATTTGCTTTCTTCATTACATACTGCTGTTTCTCCTTGTTAAATGTGCTTTGATGATTTTAATATTATTGTGCCAGGGATTGGGGGGGGGGTTGTGTGTGGGAGAGTAGGTATTGTATTTTCTTCAGTGTCATTGTTCTTGGTAATTGATACTTCTTTGTCTTATTTCTCTCATTCTTTCAAAATAAAGATTTTTGAAATTTGGAGGAAACTGGATAATATTGAAAATCTGGAAGCAAAGGGTCATAATAAAAGGACTATGATGTGTGTGTGTGTGTGTGTGTGTGTGTGTGTGTGTGTGTGTGTTGGTACTGGGGACTTAACTCAGGGCCTCATGCTCTCACTTGGCTTTTTCACTCTACCCCTTGAGCCACGTGTCTTTACTTCTCAATCATTTTGCTGGTTAATTGGAGATAAGGATCTCATGAACTTTTCTGCCCAGGCTGACTTCAAACTTCATCTCAGCTTCCTGTGTAGATAGGATAACAAGTGTGAGCTGAGCCCTCATCTTTGTTTCATTGTTTTTTGAAGACAGGAATTTGCTATGTAGCCAAAGCTGGCATGGAACTCATTATCCTCCTGAGTGTTGAGATGATAGGCATAAACTATCAAATTCAGATCAAGCTTTTAAAAATCTAGTGGAGAAGCAAAGGAGGACTATACTACAATTCCTTAATATACTAAGTTCCCACCTTGCGAATTGTTTAAGTTAGCTCTCTCACACCTTTATCAATGGTGAGGTTTGAACTCAGCACCTTGTGCTTGCTAAGCAGACTGTCTACTGCTGAACCACATCTCTACTCCCCTTTTATACACTGGTTATTTGGGGATAAGGTCTCGCTTTTTTGCCCAATCCTGTCCCTGGAGTGTGATCCTTCTAGTTTAGGTTTTTCGTAGTAGGTGGGACGACAGGTGAGTGACACCATACCCAACTATTAGTAAAGAAGGGGGTCTCGTGAAGTTTTTGTCTAATTTTCATTCTCTGGATTTCAGCACCCTGAGTAGATGGGCTGACAGGCATGAGCCACAGTGCTCACCTCCATCATACTTGATGATGTTAGTATGTAAGACAGAGACAGAGAGCTATGCTATTATGAATCCAACATCATCTCCAGGTTTAGGAAGTTCTTTTTTTTTGTCTGTTGTGGGGCTTGAACTCAGGGCCTGGGCACTGTCCCGAGCCTCTTTGTGCTCTAGCACTTGAGCCACAGTACCACTTCCAGTTTTCTGGGTGTTAATTGGAGGTAAGAGTCTCATGGACTTTCCTGCCTGGGCTGACTTGGAACCCCATCCTCAGATCTCAGCCTCCTGAGCTCACTGGTGTGAGCCACCAGTGCCTGGCGGGAAGTTCTTTGTTAGGTGATACCAAGGGAAAGTAGAAAGCTGCAGGTTTATTAAATAAATGTGAAGCACTGTCTCTCATTACGATGTGTCCACAAAGTGGTACAAGTTGAACTGCCACAACCTTGTTACTCTTGGTACATAATTTAATCATTCAGTGTGTTATTTCATCAACAAAAAGTAGTGTGTTGAAACCTTGAAATCTTTTCCAATTTAATTTCTTTGAGACTATGAAACAAGTAAATGCAAGAGAAAATTTCAATTTTACTAAAGGGCAGCTATTAGAAAAAATGGAATAGTGTCAATTTTCATGCCTGATTAAATAAGAGTTTGTCAAACAACTCTGAAAACTACAAAAATATGATGTAATAGTAATTTCTGCTGTAGTCTTTCTGAAATATATTAGCTTAATGTCATGTCTCTGTAAGATTGCAAATTTTATCTGTACAGTTTTCATTTGTTTATAAATATGTTTTGCCTTAAGTCAGTGAGAGTTCTCTTAGTCCTAGTTGAATGCAAGATTAGAGACCAAGATAACATTTCAGGCTAAATAAACCCTTGTTGTTGTCTTAGACGTTTAAGGTTGTTTCTTGAAGATTAGGAATACTTCCAGGTTGACAGCAGGTCAATATCAGACATCTATCTGGCTCAATATAAATTTGTAGACAACCTTGCAGGTTATCCACACCCATCCTCAGTAAAGGAAGGGCCGATCCAGTTTTTCTTTACTTCCACTCTCTAGCTTCCCTCGGGGTGGGGAGCTGACTAATTTATTCTGCAATGAAAGAGGCCACCTTTATTGCGAAGTTTGTGGTTTCTATTTTTTCCTATAATGTCCCCACATTTGAAGATCAATCTGGGAAAAATGATCATTATAATTGAACATGTTAAATTCAAGAATGAAAAGCTAGTTACCTGGTTTTATGCAAAACGACGGATTAGAATAGTGACAACGCCAATCACCTGATTCCAGCAGCAGAGGCTCTTTGGCAGCTAGCTCCAGACCTAAAAGGGTGGGGTAAACTGCCCTTGTGAGTCATCATCAGCGCGCGCGAACCACCACCCGCCACTGAGCTGTACTCCAACCAATCAGCTTTTAGTGGAGGGCGTTGCTCTGGTCCGCCGCCTCCGCGGAGGCGCATGCGCGAGGCGGGGGCTGCGACTTTGAATTCGGGAGGCGCCTTCTAGAGTCCGGGCCGCGGAAATTGTGTGGCGGAAGAGGTTGCCAGGTGAGGCACTTTTAAACACTGGGAGGTTTTGAGATCTTTCAGGGCGTCGGGAATATCTCGAACTCTTGGGATAGGACTACACTTAATGGCTGTTGGGTTTTTCATTAGGCCTAGAATATGCCGAAAGGGTGAATAGATTTTTACTAATTTTGCTTTTGGCTGGGGCCAGCTATGAAAGTGATCCTTGGGAAGTTCTGTTCACCTCATAGGATCAAAAGTTCCGCCCTCGTTCTTTCTTTGACTCTAGGAAGCCTCTCAGAACTGGAACCTTATGCTGGGTTGGATGGAGCTATTACCAGCTTTGGCCTGTCCTAAGGCGAGGGGATGGAATGTCATTACGAGCATTCTGTAACTTTTTCCCATGTGAAGCTAAAAACCTGTAGTCATTCTTGGCTCCCCTCTTTCTTTGTCCTTAACCAGCTTGCCCATTCTGCCTCCAAAACAGCGCGACTCCAGTCATTTTCCACCTCTATCCTGTTGTACCTTGGGCCTAGTACAGACTTGCCTTATGTACTTGAGCTTTCAGCCCTAGTTTGGCATTTTAGCTATGCATTTTCAAAGTGCACTGACAAAAGTAAAGAGCATAAAGATAAAAAGCAAAATCAAGGAAGGGTGGAAAAAACAGGAGTAGACAAAGATTAAGTTTGTGAAATGGATTGGTTTTAGACTTACTTATGTGATGTTGCCATTCTAAGAGGAAAGTTCCATTTTTAGGATTCAGCAGTTAAATGGTCCTGTAGTGGTTGTTATTTTGTTTCTATTAAGATGAAGGACTTTCTGAAATATTTGATTTATAGGTTTGTTTCCTGTATCGTTGTCAACTTATTTATTGCATACTTGTTGTATGCTATGTATTATGCACTAAGCATGGAAATATAGGCAAATATGTTTTTTTTGTCTTGGTGAAGTAAAAAGGAATATTGGGATGATAAATGATAACTTGACACTTCTTTCTATATAGAATACCACAGAGTTTGGTGTTACCTCAAAAAAGAACAGACTATACAACACTCCAAGTTAGTAATAGTTGTCAGACCAGTTTCACAGTCTGGAAAGTAAAAGAGATACCAAGAAACTCAAGGTTCATTATGAAAACGAGTAATCCAGTAGATGATGCTAATGATCAAGCTGAAGATGCTCTGCAAAGAGCAATGGGATACTTTGAGAAAGGTAAAATAAAATTTTCTTCTTCTTATGAATGTCCTGTCCTATAAAAACACTCTAGTCTTGAAAGCTGAGTATGGTGGCACAGACCTGTAATCCAATACTTGAGAGGCTGACATAAGGACATCATGAATTCAAGGTCAACCAGGGATAGTAAGACCGTCTCAAAAAAAAAAAAAAGGAATTAAAATTTTTTTTGTCAGTCATGGACCTTGAACTCAGGGCCTGGGAACTGTCCCTGAGCTATTTTGCTCAAGTCCAGCACTCTACCACTTTGAGCCACAGTGCCATTTCTGGTTTCCTGGTGGTTAATTGGAGGTAAGAGTCTCCACTGATGTTCCTACCTGAATCATGATCCACAGATCTCAGCCTCATGAGTAGTTAGGATTACAAGCATGAGGCACAAGAGCCCCAGCCATCAGTTTTTTTCTTGAGTTTGTTTTGTTTTGTTTTTGGTGCTGGTTCTGGTGCTTGACTTCAGGGGCTAGACACTGTCCATAACCTTCTTTTGCTCAAATCTAGCAATCTACCACTTGAGCTCTACTTCCAGCTTTTTGGTAGTCCATTGGAGCCAAGAGTATCTTGGACTTTGCTTTGTGGGCTGTCTTTGATCCATGATCCTCAGATCTCAGCCTACTGAGTGTCTAGGATTAAGGGCATGAGCCACTGGTGTCCAGCTTTTCTTTTCTTTTTTTTTTGTGGGGGGGTCCAGTCGTGGGGCCTGAACTCTGGGCCTGGGCGCTGTCCCTCAGCTCTTCAGCTCAAGGCTAGTGCTCTACCGCTTGAGCCACAGTGCCACTTCCAGCTTTTTTCTTTTTGCTTATGTGGTGCTGAGGAATCGAACCCAGGGTCTCAGGCATGCAAGGTAAGCACTCTACCACTGAGGCCCATCCAGCTTTTCTTAAGACATTGTTTTGGGGTCGGTCATGGGACTTGAACTCTGAGCCTGGGTACTGCCCCTCAGCTCTTCAGCTCAAGGCTAGTGCTCAACCACTTGAGCCACAGCACCACTTCCGGTTTTCTGCTGGTTCAATGGAGATGAGTCGGAGGGGGGTATATGTGGCTGGGAATGTGGCTTAGTGGTAGAGTGCTTGGCTAGCATGCATGAAGCCCTGGTTTCGATTCCTCAGAAAAAGCCAGAAGTAGCACTGTGGCTCAAGTGGTAGAGTGCTAGTCTTAGCAAAAGAAGCTTAGGGACAGTGCCCAGGCCCTGAGTTCAAGCCCCAAGACTGGCAAAAAAAAGAGTCCCATGGACTTTCCTGCCCTGGTTGGCTTTGAACCATTATCCTCAGACCTCAGCTTCCTGAGTAGGTAGGATTACAGACATGAGCCACTGGCACCCGGCTTCCTAAGACTTTTCAAGGAAAAACATATTTTTGTTATTCTTGTTTTTATTTAATAGACATTTATTGATACCTTAACAATATATGGTACTAAGGACACAACAAAAAAACATCTTTCCAGGGAAGTGGTTCCCAGACTACCATACATTGTGATCACTCAAGCATCTTTTCTTTGGTCAGTTGTAGGGCTTGAACTCAGGGCCTGGGCACTGTCCTTGAGCTCTTTTGCTCAAGGCTAGCATTCTACCACTATGAGCCACAGCACCACTTCTGGTTTTCTGGTGGATATTTGGAGATAAGAGTCTCATGGACTTTCCTGCCCTGGCTGGCTTGGAACCATGATCCTCAGATTTCAGACTCCTGAGTAGCTAGGATTATAGGCATTAGCCACTGGCACTTGGCCCAAGAATCATTTAAAACATATTGATATTCTCTTATTTAGATATTCTGATTTTATCTGTATGGGATGCAACCTGGCATTAGACATTTTTTAACACTTCCAGATGCACGGCAGAGTTTGGAACTTTTGCTCCAGTATGGAGAGAGATTATAAAGTTGAATGTTTATAGTATACAGCAAGAATGCTGTAAAATATTATTGTTAAATATTTTAAAGCTTTCAAAGTTGTTTTTTTTGGTGGTACTGGAGCTTGAATCTTGCACTTGCTAGGCTGGTGTTTTACCATTTGAGCCATGTCTACAGCACTGATTTTTGCTGGTTATTTTTTGTATAGTTTTTAGCTTCCTGCTCAGGTATTTTCCTGAGTTATACTCTGCCAACTTTTTTCAGGAGCAAGCCACTGTGTTCAGCATCTTTTCCTGCAGATAGAATTTCATGGGCATTTCTCCCTGGGCTGGGCTTGAACTATGGACCTCTTATTCTCAGCCTCCAAAGTAGCTAGAAACAGAGGCATGAGCCACTACCATCTGGCTTCTTTCAAGAGTGTTTTAGGAAGATATTTTTACTAGAATTTATTCTTTATAGAGTTTCAAGTTGTAATCATCAAGATTGAGAACTGAGAAAAATTTAAAAGCCTCAGTATTTAATAATCTTCCTTTCTCTAGGTCCCAAGAAATCTTCACAGAGTAAAGATGAGAACTTGGAAACACACTTGAAAGCTGTGGAAAATGTGGCATGGAAGAATGGGCTACCTCCAGAAGCAATCGACGTTCTATTAAATATAGCACTTAGTGGCACATTTGGTATGTTGACGGGGTACATGTTTTTGTTAGGTTGGCATTAGATTTGCTTCTCAGACTTTGAATTCAAGTAGTCATTGGGATCAGTTGCTACTTATTTTTGCTCTTTTCTTCATAAAACCATTCTGGTAAGATTATAAAATGGGCCTTTGCTGGGATTAGAGTACTTTATGAATCAAAAGTTTCTGTCTGAGCTGGGTGCTGGTGGCTCACGCCTGTAATCCTGGCTACTCAGGAGGCTGAGATCTGAGGATCATGGTTCAAAGCCAGCCCAGGCAGGAAAGTCCTTGAAACTCTTATCTCTAGTAAACCACCAGAAAACCAGAAGTGGCTCTGTGGCTCAAGTGGTGGAGCACTTGCCTTGAGCTGAAGAGCTGAGGGACAGCATCCAGGCCCAGAGTTCAAGCCCCTTAACTGATCCCCCCCAAAAAAGTTTCTGTCTGAAGATTGCTGAAAATAATCAGTTGCCATATACCATATACCTCTACAAATAAAATGTACAATTTTATTTTGGTCAGTCATGGGCCCTGAGTTCAAGCCACAGGACCAGCAAAAAAAAGCTGAATGACATCATAAAGTCCCGAGTTCAAACCAAAATAAAGCAACTACAAAAAGAATTAACACCTGATCAATAGTCATTTTTTTTTTTGTCTGTCGTGGGGCCTGAACTGGGCCTGGGCGCTGTCCCTCAGCGCTTCAGCTCAAGGCTAGCACTCTAGCACTTGAGCCACAGCGCCACTTCAGCTTATTTCTGCTTATGTGGTGCTTAGGAATTGAACCCAGGGCCTCATGCATGCAAGGCAAGCACTCTTACTACCGAGCCACCTTCCCAGCCCCATCAATAGTCATTTTACTTTTGGAAGGTATTATAGACTCACATATCCTCGTTTGCTTTTTTTTTCAAATTTATTTGATCAATTAATGGTATTAGAGTTTAAATTTAAGTCCTTGTTCTTGCAAAGTGAGCACTCATCAATTGAGCCAAGCTCACTAGCTCAAATATCTCATCTTAAAAATGAGGAAACATCTAGAAGCGACCAGCTCACACCTGTAATTCTAGGTACTCAGGATGCTAAGATCTGGAGGATCTTGGTTTGAAACCAAGCTGGGCAGAAAAGTCTATGACAATCCATCTCCAAAATAACCAACAAAAGGTCAGACTGGAGAACTGGCTCAAGTGTTTACACCCTCCCATCCTATTTACAGATGTGTGTGTGTGTGTGTGTGTGTGTGTGTGTGTGTGTGTGTGTGTGTGTGTGTGTGTGTGTGTGTGTCTGTGTCTGGCTGTTTTAAAGTAAAACATATACTAAGTGAATTCATTGTGACTCTATTATCTCTCTAATTTTCCATTGTAAGTTCTATATATTTTTCAAAGAGTTATAGTTGAGCAAGCAAGCCAGTGAGTAGAAAGCCATGGGTTCAAACCTTAGTACCGCTGGGCGGGGGTGAGGAAAGTAAGTAAAGAATATTCTTACTTTTGCTCTTTTTTGAGAGTCTCACTTTGTAGTCCAGGTTGACCTTAAACTCTAGATTCTCTTACTTCCTCTTTGCCCAGCTTTAAAGAGATTTTTTTTTTAAACTTCGGAATTAGAGCTGGAGAACCAGATCCATTCTAGTATTCATGTAAAATTAAAAATACTAATTAAAAATACTAATAATGGGTGCTGGTGGCTCACACCTGTAATATTAACTATTCAGGAGACTTCGTATCTTAGTTTGAAGCTAGCCCAGTCAGGACAGTCTGTGAGACGATCATCTCCAATAATCTACTCAGAAAAAGCTGGAAGTGGCACTGTGGCTCAATTGGTAAAGCGTTAGCCTTGAGCACAGAGAGGCTCAGGGACAGAGCCTAGGCCCTGAGTTCAAGCCTAAGACCAGCAAAATACTAATACACCATCAAAATGGATTCTTTTAAAAAAATTTTATTGTCAAGGTGATGTACAGTGGGGTCACAGTTATATATGTAGGGTAGTGAGTACATTTCTTGTCGAACTTGTTACCTCCCTCCATAATTTTTCTCCCACTTTCCCTCCTTCCTAGCCCCCCCCCCCCCAAGTTATACAGTTTATTTCCAACATATTATCTTGTGAGTATCTCTGTTGCATGGTTCACCCTTTGTCCTTTGTCTCACCATTTTGTTGTTCCCCTTCCCTTCCCTAATTCAGATAAACATATATACAATAAGCAGGGTACCAAAATCAAATACAGTAAAAACAAGGGATAAACCATAGGATTAAAAAACACAAAAAGGAAATCACATAGTACATTAAAAACAACAACAAAGAAAAACCTCTTGTGTCCATGTCTTAGTGTTCATTTCACTTAACATCAACTTACATGGTCATATGTACATAGCTTTTGAGCTATTCTGCTTATCTGCTAGGATTATCCTAGATATATACTAATTATTACAAGTGAGGGAAACCATGGGATCTATGTTTCTTTAGGTCTGGCTTCATTAATATGATTTTTTTTTAAGACTTTCCATTTCTTCACAAATAGGGCAGTGTCATTTTTTTCTGATGGAAGCATAGAATTCCATTGTGCATAAATACATTTATTTTTTTTTTTTGGGTCCGGTCGTGGGGCCTGAACTCTGGGCCTGGGTGCTGTCCCTCAGCTCTTCAGCTCAAGGCTAGCGCTCTACCACTTGAGCCACAGCGCCACTTCCGGCTTTTTTCTTTTTGCTTATGTGGTGCTGAGGAATCGAACCCAGGGCCTCATGCATGCAAGGCAAGCGCTCTACCACTGAGCCACCTTCCCAGCCCATAAATACATTTTCTTGACCCATTCATCTGCTGAGCATCTGGGTTGGTTCAATATCTTAGCTATGGTAAGTAATGCTGCTGGTTGTAGTTGTGCTGGTAGCTCTAGTATTGCCTTGCTTGTGGTCATTTGGGTAAATGCCCAGAGGTGAGATTGCTGGGTCATAGAGGACCTCTATGTGTAGTCTTTTGAGGAATCTTCATAATGCTTTCCAGAGTGGTTGAACAAGTTTACACTCCCACTAACTGTGCGGGGTTCCCTTTTTGCCACATCCCCTCCAGCATCTGTTAGTTGATTTCTTGATTATAGCCATTCTAACTGGGGTGATGTGGAATTTCAATGTTGTTTTGATTTCCTTTTTTTTTTTTTTTTGTCGGTCATGGAGCTTGAATTCTGGGCCTGAGAGCTTTCCCTCAGCTCTTCAGCTCAAGGCTAGTGCTTTACCACTTGACCCACAGCACCCACTCCCAGCTTTTTCTGTTTATGTGGTGCTGAGGAATCTTTCTTTTATGGACAGAGATGTTGACCATTTTGTCATGTGTCTATTTCCTCTTCAGAGAAATCTCTCAAGTCTTTAGCTCACTTAGTGGGACTGTTGTTTCTTTGAGGATTTGTTGTCTTTTGTTTGGGGGGGGCCTGGTCCTGGGGCCTGAACTCTGGGCCTGGGCACTGTCCCTCAGCTCTTCAGCTCAAGGCTAGTGCTCTACCACTTGAGCCACAGCGCCACTTCCGGCTTTTTTCTTTTTGCTTATGTGGTGTTGAGGAATCGAACCCAGGACCTCATGCATGCAAGGCAAGTGCTCTACCACTGAGCCATCTTCCCAGCTCCGAGGATTTGTTTTTGGGGAATTTAATTTTTTGAGTTCTAAGCATATTTTAGATATGAGGCCCTTCTCTGTTGTATGGCTAGTGAACATCTCCAAATCTGTGGGCTTTCTATTTATATTGCTAGCTATGCCCTTTGCCATGCAGAAACACTGCAATTTAATGCAATCCCATTTGTCCAACCTTTCTTTGATTTGTTGTGTTTCTGGATCTTATTAAGAAAATTTCAACCTGTGCCAAGGAGTTCTAGAGTTTCTCCTAATCCTTCCTGTAATGTTTTCAGGGTATCTGCTTTTACCTCAGGTCTTTGGTCCATTTGGGATTGATTCTGAGGCAGGGTGACATATAAGGATCTAACTTTAGTTTTCTACAGTGTTGAACCAGTTCTGCACCATTTACTGAAGAGGCTGTCTTTCTTCCATCCTATTGTTTTGGCTCCCTTATCGAAGATTAGGTGGCCATAGGTCTGCAAGTTTCATTTCTGGGTCTTCAGTTCTATTCCATTGGTCCTCAGCTCTGTTCTTGTGTGAGTACCAAGCTGTTTTGATTACTATGGCTTTGTAATAGAGTTTGAAGTTTGGTATTGATATTTCTCCAGCACTATGCTTTCTGCTAAGGATTGTTTTTACTATTCAGGGTCTTATTATTCCATATGAATTTTTGGATTGCTTCCTCTCATTAAAGAATGATGTAGAGATATTTATGGGCATTGTATTGAATTTGTAGATAGGCTTTGGCAGTATTGTCATTTTCATGCTGCTAATCCTTCCAATCTAGGAGCATAGGAGGTTTTTCCACTTCCTTACTTCTGCTTTAATTTACTTTTTCAGGTTTTTTGAAAGCTTTCATCATAGAGGTCCTGCAGTTCTTTGGTTAAGTTAATTCCTAGGTATTTTTGTGTGTGGGGGGGCTATTTTCTTATTTCAGCCTTGTTCTTCTCATTATTGGCATATAAAAAAGCCAAAATGAATTTTCAAAATGAAAATGATTTTCAAAATGAAAATGATTTTTCAAAATGAATTCTTTAGATACTAAAGATTTCCTAGTCCTTGCATATTAGTTTTTTTGTTTACAACCTACCATCCTATTTACAGATATGTGTTTGTATGTATGTGTATATGTTTTAAAGTAATAAACATTACTAAGTGAATTCAATATGACTCTTATTTTTCTATTTTTGTTCCTGTAAGTGCTGATTCCAGATTTGTTAGGTTCTAATACCTTTTCACAATTCAGTGTTTAGTCTGTGTCTATCAAGGTGAATTTTTCAGTTTCATTTTCCATTAAAAACAGGTAGAATGGACAGGTGTTTTCTGTTTTGAAATTTCTCTTTTTCTTTTTTTGACATCTTGGAAATGAATGCTCAGGCATCTGTGAGATATTGACATGTTTCATATACATACTGCTGGCTTTGGAAACTCATATATAACACTTTAAAAACAATGTCTGATTTCTCATGTTACTTTTGATTTTTAGTGATACTAGAATGTGTTGAGATCAAATGTACTTACTTACTTTTCTTTCTCAGTTGTTTCTGAGATGTTCCCCCCACTAGATCATTACATTTAGCTTTTTGGGGGAAGTTGAAATGCACATTTAGGGAAAATGTTATTAAAATTAGGTGCATGCCAGTGGCTGGTGCTTCATGCTCATAATCCTAGCTAGTTGGAAGGCTAAGATCTTAGGATTGCGGTTTGAATCTAACCCAGACAGGACAAACCAGAGAGAGTCTTATCTCCAACAAAACATCAAAAAGCCAGAATTGGAGATGTGGCTCAAGTAGTAGAGCACCCAGGCCCTAAATTCAAGCTCCAGTACTGGTATACACACAAAAAAAGTGCAATGAGGCATTAGATTCGTTAGAAATTAATTTAAAAGTTACTGTAATGGGGCTGGGAAGGTAGCTCAGTGGTAGAATGCTTACCTTGCATGCATGAGGCCCTGAGTTCAATTCCTCAGTATCACATAAGCAGAAAAAGCCAGAAGAGGTGCTATGGCTCAAGTGGTAGAGTGCTCGCCTTGAGCTGAAGGGCAGAGGGACAGCACCCAGGCCCAGAGTTCAAGCCCCATGACCAACAAAAAAAAAGTTACTGTAATGTAAAAATATAGTAAAAATTAAAAGTATAAGGAAGGCATGGTAGTATACATCTAAAATCCCAATAGTTGGGATATAAGTAAGAAGAATGAGAGTTGGAGACCAGCCTGTGCTACCAAGTGAGACCTTGTCTTCAAAAAAAAAAAACCAAAAAACAAGGAATCACAGAAATGGTGAGACAGAGGACAAAGGATGAACCAATATAACAGTGATACTTACAAGACACTATGTTGGAAATGCACTTTATAACTTGACGGGGAAGGGAGTCAGGGGAAGGCAAAGCAGGGGAAAAATGAGGGAGGGGTAACACTGTTCAAAAAGAAATGTACTCATTACCTTACTTATGTAACTAACCCCTCTGTACATCACCTTTGCAGTAAAAAGAAATGGAGCAGAAAAAAGCACAGGTAAAACAAAACAAGGACTGGGAATGTTCCTCAGTAATATAGCACTTGCCTAACATATACAGGCTCTGGGTTTGATCCACAACACCAAGCAAGCAAATGGTTAGTAGATAGGAGTGGGAGAGAATAAAATATTAAAAACAAGAAACTTAAGAGGGAAACAGGGACTTTTTAAAATTTTTGATTTTTTTTTAAAGCTCTTATTGCTTACTTCTCCAAAAATGGAGTAGAAATCGATGAGTTTATTTATTCTTTATTTTTTAATTAATTAATTTTTGTTGGTTGTGGGGCTTGAACTCTGGTCCTGGGCACTGTCTCTGAGCTCTTCAGCTCAAGGCAAGTGCTCTGCCACTTGAGCCACAGTGCCACTTCAGTTTTCTGGTGGATAATTAGAAATAAGAGTCTCACAGACTTTCCTGCCCAGGCTGGCTTTGAATCACGATTCTTAGATCTCAGTAGCTAGGATCTGAGTAGCTAGGATTACAAGTGTGAGCCACTGACACCTGACTTTTTTATTTTGATGAAAATATTTTAATTTTTGGAGTCTTAGCAAACAGAACTTGATAAAAGGTATATACAAAGCCAGCATTTATTACCAGATGGAAGAATGCTACAAAGGGTATCTCTGCATTCCTCTGAAAGTTAGAAAGACCATTACTGTCATCCAGTCCCATTCTGCTCCCAGTGCTCCATTTTAATGGACCGGAGGATACAATATATAATTTTTGTGGTAGTACTGGGGCTTGAACTCAGGGACTTATACTCTCACTTAACTGGTTTTGTTTAAGGCTGCCATTCTATTGAGCTACTGTTCCACTTTTGTCTTTCTGCTGGTTAGTTGGAGATGAGTCTTACAAACATTTCTGCCTGGTCTGATTTCAACCTCAATCTTTATTCCTCAGGTCTCAGCCTCTTGAGTAGCTAGGATTACATTATTACATTATTAAATTATGTTTGCCTTTTCAGCAAACATATATATATTTTAGGTTCCTAAATGTAGCAATTCATGGTAAATGGGTGTTAGTATCCTCTAATAAATCAGTCTCAAGTTGAAAAAACAATAAAGAAAAATTAAAAATTTCTGTATGATTGAAATGCTTTTTTGGAGATATAATTCACTGACAATTAATATGCATCATGTTTGAAAATTCAGTATTTCTAGCATATTTGCAGAGCTGAGCACTTATCACCATATTTAATTCTCAAATATTTTTTATTCTCAAAATTAACTGTTCTTATGCTCTCTCCTTTTTTTTTGTCAGTCGTGGGGCTTGAACTCTGGGCTTGGGCGCTGTCCCTCAGCTCTTCAGCTCAAGGCAAGCACTCTACTGCTTGAGCCACAGCACCACTTCTGGTTTTCTAGTGGTTTTATTGGAGATAAGTGTGCAACGGACTTTCCTGCCTAGGCTGGCTTTGAGCCGCGATCCTCAGATCTCAGCCTCCTGAGTAGCTAGGATTACAGGCATGAGCCACCGTGCCCGGCTTTCTCTCTTTTTTCCCCTAAAGAATCTGAAATTGAATAGCTTTGCTTGTTTTGTTCTCTTTCTGAGACAAGGTCTCTCTGTGTGACCCAGGTTGGCTTTGAACTTGCTGTCCTCTTGCCTTAGCCTCCCAAGTACTGGAATCGCAAACATGAAATCTGCACCTGCAACTGTACTCTCTCCTTATAAAAATATTTGAGCCAAATATTGCTTTATATAAGTTAAAGATGTATTTTTTGGAGTATTGGAGATTGAACCCAGGGCCTTGTATATGCTAGGCAACATTTCTACTGCTGAGCCACATATCCAGCCCTACAATTTGGTTTTGGATAATTGTTTTTTGTGTAGGTCATGGGTTATGAACTCAAGGTGTAGGTGCTGTCCCATAGCTTTTTCCCCAATGCTAGCACTTTATTACTTGAGCCACTGCTTTACTTCTAGCTATTTAGTGTGTAATTGGAATAAGAGTTTCATGGACTTTCCTGCCTGGGCTATGCTGGCTTACAGCCATGGTCCTCAGATATTAGTCTCCTGAGTAGCTGGGATTACAGAGGTTTGCCATAGGCTCCTCACTGAATAATGTTTTATAAGGATGATAAGAGATATTAAATAGTATGTACTGTTGGGTTTTCTATTCAATATAAAGTGAGATTTTTATGACTGGATACTGAGTAATAATGAAGGAACAATTGTGACTGTAAAATATAGTTTAATTTAGAGTTGATCTGCTTTCCAGGGAATGCTGTAAACACACGGCTATTGAAGTGCATGATTCCAGCAACTCTAATAGCAGAGGATTCTGTGGTTAAGGCAGTCTCCTGGCTCTGTGTTGGCAAGTGTTCTGGTAGTATCAAGGTAATCTTTTTTAAACACTTCGATAAGTCCTTCAGACCCCACTTAAGGGTTGGCAAGGAAGAGCCACTTAGGGAGTAATGGCAGTGGCCTTTTGTGCAAAATCTGTGGTTTTGGAACAATGTGGTTTGATACAAGAACTCTGTTCAAACAAATTTTTACTCAGAAATAAAATCTATTCTTATACTTTGTGCTAGAAGCTTTAACACAGCTCTTCTGTGCCAGTTATATTTCTCTAAAGATAAACATTTTGTCTCTTGATAGGTACTTTTTTATCGTTGGCTGGTTACAATGCTTGACTTCATTGATCATAAGGAACAAATTAATTTGCTCTATGGCTTCTTTTTTGCTTCATTGCAAGATGATGTCCTGGTAAGTAAACATTGGACAGCGTTGAGCATCAATCAGATGGTACGTTTGTGTATTTTGACACATCATAAATGTTTCATACTGTCATATAATATTTTCCTTATTTATTTAAAAGTATAAAAATATACATAAAATGCAAAGAATAACATATCAACCCTCTTTTCACCATCTGTAAGATTAACAGATATAAAACTTAACTATTTTTGCCATATGTCTTTTTTTTGCCAGGGCATGAACTCAGAGGTTGGTGGGGTCCTTTAGTTTTACCCCTTAAGGCTGGCACTCTACATCTTGAGCCACACCTCTACGAGCTTTTTTGGTGGCTATTTGAAGATAAGAGTATCATGGCCTTTCCTACTTAGTTTGGCTTTAAATCTAGATCCTTATATTGCAGCTTCATGAATAACTAAGATTACAGTCAGGAGCCACTGGCACCCAGCTTATATGTCATCTTTGAAAGAAATGCAGATGTTATAGATAGGGTTAATTCCACTTTGGAATCTCTCTGTTAATCTAGAATAGTGATTATAATTTTTCCCCTTTGATCCACATTGGAATCTCTCTGTTAATCTAGAATGGTGATTATAATTTTTCCCCTTTGATCCACATTGGAATCTCTCTGTTAATCTAGAATAGTGATTATAATTTTTCCCCTTTGAATGACTTCAGCAGAGTCCTTTGGGTCACTTACTCTACATTTTCTTGATTAACAGATCATCAGAATTAATGAGAAGGAGAGCATTGCTTTTCATGAATTATAAATGGACTGGTTTTGATCAAGTAACATTATTATTCCCATTAAAAACGTTAGTAACTCTAAGAAATCAATCTACTGTCTACCTGGAAGACTTTCAAGGACCATCAATAGTTCATAGACCATGTGAGCCACTCAGCTAATTGAATTCCTTTTGCCTTTGGGAAAGAAATTCATTTCTTGATATCATTAAAAATCATGCTCCTATTGTGTTCCTTGCATTCTATCAGGCATTGTAGAAGACTTAAATTTATCATGTTTCAGCAGACCACAAATTTAGAATCTAGTTATGGAATTAATAAAAGCACATAAGGTTAACTAACCCTTCAAGTGTTAAATTATCAGACACAGTAAATGATAATATGAGGGTATAATTGCTGTAGTATTTTTAAGAAAGAAGAGAATGCTGTAAATCAGAGTGATTACATAAAAGACCATAAGGGCCAAGTATAGTGGCATACATGCCTGTAATCCTAGGTAATTGGGTCATGGATACAGGAAGATCTTATTTCAAGGCCAACAGAATTTGTATTGCAAAAGTTAGCAAGACCCAGTCTCAAAAATAAGTTGGATGTGGTGGTTTACACTTTTGGTCCTAGCTACTCTAGAGGCAGAGGTAGGATCTGGGTTTGTGGAGTTAGCATGGAAACCCTATCTAGAAAACAAAAATAAAAAGGACTAGGGGGCATGGCTCAAGTGATTGAGGGCTTGTCTGGTAAGTTGGAGCATCTGAGTTCAATACCCAGCACAAAAAAGAAAAAAGAAAACAAATCATAAAGTATAGGAACATTGTAGTGAGCCTTGAAGGTTGAATACATTTGGAATTTGATGAGAAGAAATAATATTTGATAACATTAAGATTTCAGGCAAAGTTGTGAGATATGTAAAGTGTGTTTTAGGAGACCTTCAGTATGCCAGCCTGACGTAATTGGGAGTTGGTTTTGAGTAGTAATGGTTGGTAAGACTAAAAATCTGGGGTGGAGACAGATTGAAGAGGTTTTTCATTGTGAAATTCTCTATTCAGTGGAACAGTCACTGAAAAATTCTGAGTAGAGCTGGGTGCCGGTGGCTCACGTCTGTAATCCTAGCTACTCAGGAGGCTGAGATCTGAGGGTCGCAGTTCAAATCCAGAGTTGGGAGAGTCATGAGACTCTCCAGTTAATCACCAGAAAACCAGAAGTGGCACTGTGGCTTAAGTGGTAGAGAGCTCGCCTTGAGCTGAAGACCTCAGAGACAGTGCCCAGGCCCATAGTTCAGACCCCACAATCAACCGAAAAAAAAGAAAGAAAAGAAAAATTCTGAGTAGAATATGTTGAAAGCAGCTTTACAGGAAGCTGTAACTAGTCGTACTGAGTAATATGAATTAGAAGAGAGATTAGAGGCTGGAAGACTAGTTAGGAGGCTTGACATGGTAATCCAAATGGTATGATATGGAAGTCCTAGACTAGAAAATTTTAAGCCTGATCTGTGAACTCTGGGCCTTCTTGAAATGCTTTCAGAAGTTGTGAGAAGTCAAATTGTTTTCATAATAATACCAAAATATTATTTTGCTATTTTTACTCTGTTGACATTGGCACTGATAATGTTAAAGAAAATGGTGGAAAAACTTCTGGCACTTTAGCACAAATAAGGAAGCAGCACTAAGCTGTATTAAAGGTCATTGTAGTTTTCACTGCAGTAAAAAATTTTAAAATGTGAGCATTATGAGAAAGTCATGGATGAAGCAATTAATGGTATTCCTTTACTTTAACTTTTTCCCTTTCCCTTTCTTATTGCTGGTATCATGGCTTGAACTCAATGTCTACCACTTTTGCTTGGCTTTTTTGCTGGTACTAGGGCTTGAACTTGGGGCCTTACCACTGTCCTTGAGCTTCTTTTACTCAAGGCTAGGGCTCTACCACTTGAGCCACAACACTACTTCTGTTTTTTTGTCATTTTTTTTTTTTTTTTGGAGATAAGAGTCTCATGGACAATCCTACCAGGGCTGGCTTTGAATAGCAATCCTCAAATGTCAGTCTCCTGAGTAGCTAGGATTATAGATGTGAGTCACAGGTGCCCAACTTATTTTTCTTATCTTGTTTGTTTGTTTTTGCTAGTCCTGGGGTTTGAACTCAAGGCCTGGGCACTGTCCCTGAGCTTCTTTTGCTCAAGATTAGAGCTCTACCACTTTGATCCACAGTTCCACTTCTGGCTTTTTCTGTTTATATGGCACTGAGCAATTGAACCCAGGGCTTCATGCATGCTAGACAAGCATTCTACCGCTAAGCCACATTTCCTATCTTTTCTTATCCTTTTTTGGCTGGGAAGTTGGCATAGTGGTAGAGTACTTGCCTAGCATGCATGAAGCCCTGGGTTCAATTCCTCAATGCCACATAAACAGAAAAAGCCAGAAGTAGAGCTGTGGCTTAAAGTGGTAGAGCTCTAACCTTGAGCAAAAGAAACTCAGGGACAGTGCCCAGACCATGAGTTCATGCCCCAGGACTGGCAAAAAATAATGTGTATGTATTTAATTGTTATTATAAAGATGATGTACAGAGGGGCTACAATTTCATAAATTAGATAATGATTACATTTTTTTGGACAATGTCACCATATTTTTAACCTTTTTAAGAATAATATTTACCAGAATATAATATACAAATGGAAAACTGTCCATTTTGATTTGGATGCTGGTGGCTCACATCTGACCCCTGTTAGAATAAGACCTGAGCAGATGGATACTCAAAGTAAAATATAGAAGTAGTCATTCAATGGTTTAATTAGCAACTATGTTGAATGGGTGGTATTTCCCAATCTAAGGACTAAGTTGTTAGTAAATCATGGTACAAGACAGGCATGGGTGTTTCATGTCTATCATCTTAGCTTCCCAGGCAGCTGAGATCAGAGGATTGAGAGGTTTGAAGCCAGCCTAGGCAGAAAAGTTTGTGAGACTCCATCTATAATTATAACAAGCAAAATGGGAGACTGAAGGTATATGACTAACATGGTAGAGCACCGTCTGTAAACAAGCAAATCAAGTAAGAGGACAATTCCCTGAGTTCAAGCCCTGGTTAATAGCACAAGAAAGTTAGTAATCTATATGGGCTAGGGTTATAGCTCAGTGGTAGAGTGTTTGCCCAGCTTTTACAAGAACCTGGGTTTGATCCCCAGCAACAAGAAGAAATTATGATATATTTGCTTAGTGGAATATGAGCTATAATTGAAAATAATAAATTCAAGACTAAATAACAAAATTATTTGAATGGAAAAATTAAGATAAAAGGCTTAGGTTTATTTCTTAATAAAGGTAGACTAGTATTGAAAGGAATGCATACAATGCAGAAGGAGGATAGGCATTTCTTTACCACTATTCAAATTGGGTGCACTGTTTTTACATTCCAAAAATAGCGAAAAATGGCCTGATAGGTTTTAGTTAAAACTGTTTTTTAATCATTGTTATGTAAAGGTTAAGCACATCAAATCTGAAACTCTGAAGTTTGAAATGTTTAAAAATCTGAATCTTAAAAAATAAAATAAAATAAAATAAAAAATAAAAATCTGAATCTTCTTGTGTACCAACATGATACAAAAAATGCAAAATTCCATGCCTTATGTATGTTATAGGTCACAGCCATAATACAGGACAACTAAAAATACTACATAAATTTCCCTTCAATTTGTGTATGTAAAATGTATATAAAACCAGGTACTGGTGGCTAATGCCTGTAATCCTAGCTACTCAGGAGATGGAGATTTGAAGCCAGTCCAGGCAGGAAAGTCTGTGAGACTCTTATCTCCAAGTAAATCACAGAATAAGCTGGAAGTTGTGCTGTGACTCAAGTGGTAGAGTGCTAGTCTTGAGCAAAAGGAACTCAGGGACAGTGCCCAGGACAACAGTTGAAATCTTGGAACTGGATTACAAAAAGTATATAAAACATAAATGGAAAGCCAGGTGCCGGTGGCTTACACCTAGCTACTAAGGAGGCTGAGATCTGAGAATCGTTAAAGCTAGCCTGGGCAGGAAAGTCCATGAGACTTTTATCTCCGATTAACTATCAGAAAACTGGAAGTGGCACTATGACTCAAGTGGTAAGAGCATGTACCTTGAGCTGAAGAACACAGGTACAATGTCCAGGCCCAGAGTTCAAGCCCCTTAACTGACATAAAAAACAAAAACAAAAAAAAAAAAACAATACGTGGATTTTGTGTTTAAGCTTGGGTCCCATTCTTCATATATATTATCATATATATTCACTTCTGTTCTTAAGTATTTCAGATAAGGGATGAAAAAAACTTTGTATAATTATTGTCCAATGAAGTCCTAAAGCCTTTTTTTTAATCAGCATAAAATTGACATTTGGGGAAATATGTTGCTGTTTTGTTGAAGATAGATTGTCATTTCTCTTTTGAATTTTTTGTTTTAACAGTGTCCTTATGTCTGCCATTTGTTATATTTACTTACCAAGAAAGATAATGGTGAGTATTTTCATTCCAATTATATTACATTCACTCTATAATTAGCATTTGTTTTGGCCTTTATAAAGAAACAATGAATATTAGCATTAGTTATATGACAGGACTCATGTTGTAGAAATGAATTTTCACTACTTTTGTCTAAGAGCAGCATCTGCTTAATAGCTTGAGAGTGTTTATATTGTAATGTGTTGTAAGAAGATACGATATGAACTAAATGAGAGTTAAATATAACCTATCTCTTCTTTTTCTGAATCAAATCCATAGAACTTCTTTCCTTTCCTTTTTCTAGTCAAACCATTTCGTGTGAGAAAATTGCTTGATCTTCAAGCCAAAATGGTGAGTACTGAAAAGACATTAGACTTGCCAGTTGTATCATGTGCCAAGTCATAGGCTAAGCTTTGAAATCAGAAAGTCAGATGAGTTATTGTCTTTAAGAAACTTCCTTTCTGAGTTACTCAGTCAATAAAAAAAGAGAGTATGAGGTATAGCTCAGTGATAGAGTGCTTGCCAAGCATGCTCCTGATGCGGAGCTCTATCCTCACTATCAAAGAAAAAGTAGAATTAGACTCAGGGTCAAGGAGAAATAATGATAATTGAGAGAAATTTGAACGGATGAATAAAATTTAATAGACAAAGAAGGAAAAGTAGAGGGCTCCCATCTAAGAGGACCACATGAGTGAACAGATGTATATGTCAAACTGCCAGTTGTTTAAGGAACTAGGTCGTAGGGCTAGAATGGTAAATTAGAGAGTGGCTAGTGTTAACAGTTTTTAACAGATTTTTTTGTTTATTGGTTGGTTGGTTGTGGGGCTTGAACTCTGGGCTTGGGCGCTGTCCCTGCACTCTTCAGTTCAAGGCTAGCTCTCTACCGCTTGAGCCACAGTGCTACTTCCAGTTTTCTGGTGGTTAATTGGAGATAAAAGTCTCATGGACTTTTCTCCCCAGGCTGGCTTTGAAACATGATCCTCAGATCTCAGCCTCTGAGTAAGTAGGATTACAGGCATGAGCCACTGGCACCTTGCAGTTTTTGACAGTTTTATGGATGTATCTAGGAAAGCATTTCAAGATGATTTCTTTTAGAAACTAGAACTTTAATATACTTGGTTGGTAATTATCTCTTGTCTTTACAGCTCTCTTGAGTTATTTTTGTTATACTTACCAGGTAATAGATGTCCATGAAGCTTTGGATATTAAACACTTAGTAGTAGTATCCATGCATAACTGAAGCCATCGTGGCCTCTCTTAAGGCATTTGCATAGTTCAATGATTAATATTATTTCATAACTTCCTATTTGAATCCATGGTTACAATATTTTCTCCTAGTTCTCTGAAGATATTAATGGTGATATTTTTGTCCAACGTGATTTGTATTTTACATTAGTAAAATTTGTTTAAAAGATGTACATTTTCTTACCTTAGAGTAAAACATTTCAGTGGATTTAGAAAATTCTTACTGTAATATAAGATGTTGATGCTATCAGAATTCCCCAATTCACTAAAATTCAGCCTATTTAATCATTATTATAAATATATTTTTATAAATGGCTCAAGTGGTAGAATGCCAGCCTAGTAAGCATTTGGCCCTGCCAAAAAAATTAAAAGAATGTAAGCTGGGTGCTGGTGGCTCAGGGCTTTAATCCTAGCAACTCAAACAGCTGAGATCTGAGGATTATGGTTAAAGTCAGCCTGGACAGAAAAGTACATGAGACTCTTATTTCCAATTAGCTAGCAAAAAACCAGAAGTGGAGCTGTGGCTCAAGTGGTAGGGCACCAGCCTTGAACAAAAAAGCTAAGAGAGAGTGCCCTGGTCCCAAGTTCAAGCCAAATAATATCACACACAAAAATCAATGTTATTTTAGAAGACTATTTAAGGAATATAATCATACTCCATATAATGTTTTGGTCAACAGTGGCCTATAGATACGTGCTGTATGCCATAGAGCTTAAGTGTGTAACACACTTCATTCTACCATGTTTTCACAATGATGAAATTGTCTATTAATGCATTTTTTTTCTCTTTTGGTCAGTCATGGGGCTTGAATTCTGGGTCTGAGCTCTTCAGTTCAAGGTGAACGCTCTGCCACTTGAGCCACAGTACCACTTCTGGTTTTCTGATGGTTTATTGGAGATGAGAGTCTCACAGACTTTCCTGCCCAGGCTGGCTTTGAACCACGATCCTTAGATCTCAGCCTCCTTAGTGGCTAGGATTTCAGGCGTGAGCCACTAGCACCCAGCTTAATGCATTTTTCTTAATGTTTCCCTGTTGTTTTTTAGTATTTTAGTTTGTTAGCATACAGTTATAATAGATTTCATTGTGATAAATCTATATATCATGTAGTATACTTTGAACAAGGTAACCTCCTCCATTATATTCCCATACTTCCCCTGCCACATCCTACCTTTCTCAGACAGTGGTGGTTGTCATTATGTTGTCTTATGTATGTATGTGTATGTATGTAATATCCTTTGATCTTCACCAATCAATTTCCTTTCACCCTCTCCCTTCGAATGATCCTCCACAATTTTTGGTGTACATTCTACAAATGAGTAAAAACATATTTGACTTTGTGAGCTTGGCTTATATCACTCAAAATAATGGTCTCAAGTTCCATCTACTTTGCTGCAAATGATGTAATTTCTTTTTTCTTTATGGCTCTGTAATAGTTTATGTTTTTTATTTGCCATATTTTCTTTATTATTTACCAATTGTTGAGCCCATTGGCTGATTCTGCAGGCTAGCTATTGTGAACAGAACTATAATAAACATGGATAAGCAAGTGTCTCTCTTGTCTATTGATTATACTCCTTCGATATATGCCCAAGAATGGTTCCTCATTGTTGTTTAGCTGGATATGATTACTGTGTTTCTAAGCCCTATTTGCTGTAGTGTTCTTTTCAATAATATTTTAATATAATGAAATCATTTGCTTACTAATTTTTTTTTGTCAGTTGTGGGGTTTGAACTCTGCTTGATGCTGTCCCTGAGCTCTTCTGCTCAAGGCTAGTGTTCTCCAACTTGAGCCAGAGTGCTACTTCTGTTTTTTTTGGTGGTTTATTGAAGATAAGTGTCTCACGGTCTTTCCTGCCTGAGCTGGCTTTGAACCTGGATCCTCAGATATCAGCCTCCTGAGTAGCTAGGATTACAAGCGTGAGCCACCAGCTTTCGGCTTGCTTACTAATTTATAATTCATTTAGTGGAATATTTTATTTGAATATCCAGCTTTATATTGTGAAGTTAATATTTTTGTTAATACTCAAGTGATGATAAGCTCTTTGACTATTGTATACCAATGATGAGATTTCCTGGTTAATTTTCAGGATTTATGATGATCAGGTATGAAGTTAAAATTTTATCTACTCTGTTTTGTTGGCTTCCTTTTTGACCCTCCTCCTTGATGTTTAAGTATGTTAACTATGATGTTAAATATGTTCACAGTAAAAAGAAGCTAAACTGTGTTAGCAAGTTTGACTATTAAGACTAATGTATGGGCAGAGAAGATGAAATAGGAAGGAGGGAGAAAATACAAGGAAGAAGTCAAACAAGGCAAAGGTCATAAAACATCACAACTTGGAGAGGTTTATTTAAATGTGTTAACTCATTACTTTGTGTTCTATAGTTATATGGTTATATAGTTCTATAGTTATATGGCTGGAGATATATATATATATATATATATATATATATATATATATATATATATATATATACATACATACACATTTCCCTTAGGGGATGGGATATGAATGCTTATTTAGTACCACCAAATTGCTGCTTGTTGTCTTCTTGGTATTTGTTTTCTTGGTTTCTAATTGGCTACAGAATTGAAAATGGAAAACTCTTATTGCAGGGAATGCAGCCACATCTGCAGGCTTTGTTGTCGCTGTATAAATTCTTCACCCCTACTTTGATTTCTGTATCTTTGCCTGTAAGGAAGAAGGTAAGGGATTTCATAGAAATCAGTCCTATTGAGATTAAAATTATTTTTGTTAATTTTCAGATTTTGGCTAAAATAGTTACAGCCTAGTATTTAGTATAATGTTATAACACTATTTGGGGGGAAATTTTATTAGGATCAGCACTTTGAGTTGATCATATTCAATAAAAATAATAGATTACTGATTAGAAAAATTAAATGGATCTATAAGGGTACAAAATATTTCATAATATGTTTTCACTTAATAAGATATTTTAGTCTTTATGTTGCTCTGCCTTAGAGGTATCAACTCTCTTGTATTTTACATCTATATTTATAGATCTATTTTAAGACCTCAGAGAACCCATGGACTTCAGCTTTGATAGCTGTGAGGCAGAGAAACCAGAGACCTTCTGTAGGACCTTTAAAACTGACATTAGGTCCAGATAATGGCCCTAATGTAAAAAGAGTAAGTATTGAAAGCCAGAAATGATGTGTGGCTTTCTTTTGTTAAATCTAACTAATAACAATTCAGGTACTAGAGATTATAAATATTTAAATGCCTTTTCTGCTGGGCATGATGGTATATACCTGTAATCCTTGCTACTGTGGAGGCAGAAATCAGGATTGCACATTGAAGCCAACCCAGGTAAAAAAAATTACACCCCAATCTCAACAAAAAAGCTTACATTAGGCACTGGTGGTTCATACCTACTTACTCAGGAGGCTGCAATCTGAAAATCATAGTTCAGAGCCAGCTTGAGACTCATATCTCAAATAGTAAACTATAAAAAGACAGAAGTGAGAAATATGGTTCAGGTGATAATGAGCCAGTTATGGATGAAAACATCAAACAAGTACAAGGCTTTGAGGTCAATCTCCAGGACTGGTACAAAAATGAAAATTAAAAAGTTGAATGTGATGGTGGTGGTACAATCTATAATCTTGTTATATGGGAGAGATAGGTAGGATGATTGAAGTTCAAGGCTGACCCCAGAAAAAACAAAAGGACCTATCTAAAAAGCAAAAAAGGCAGCAAGTGTGACAAAGCGGGTAAAATTGATTAGAATCCAGTATAAACTTGTGGCAATCAATATAACAGTGAATCCCTGTATAACTAATATAGTCTAATAATAAAGAATATAAAAAGCAAAAATGGGTTGGGCCTGCTGAAGTGCACTTGAGTCCCTGAATTCAGTCTCTAGTACTCTGTTCATTGAAACAATTTAACAGTTGCTTTTAATATTTTTAATTTTAATTTTTTTGTGTGCTGGTACTGAGGCTTGAACTTAGGGCTTCATACTGTTTTTTGCTTAGCTTTTTTTCTGGTACTGTACAACTTCAGCCATACCTCCACTTTGGACCTTTTACTGGTAAACTGGAAATAAGATTTGTCTGCCTGGGCTGGCTTCAAATTGGGATTCTTAGATCTCAGCCTCCTGAATAGCTAGGATTTCATGTGTGAGCCACTGGTACGTGGTTCACAACTGCTCTTATATTTATAATTTGTAGCCTGTGAAGTCCACTGCTATATTGTTCTGTTATCTTTTTCCATTAGAAATGGAATTCTCACTCACTTATACCAGTGCTAAATTCTGGTACCTACGCTAGAGAATGTGGGAAAAGAGTGATGAGTCTTTCTGATTATCTCAATCGCAATAGATCCCTCCCAGTTGAACAACTTCAAAGTTTTCCTCAACTTTTACAGAATATCCATTGCTTAGAGGTATGTGACTAGACTATGTGCTTATTTGCATTTTCTATTTGATTTTTTTTTGTTACCTTTTTTTCTATTTCCTATGATTTTTTTTTTGTTGCTGTGACCCATTTTATGTACTTACTTTTGGCTGATCCATCTTTTCAGCTGCCTGCTCAGATGGGATCAGTGCTAAACCACCCACTCCTTCTTCACTATATTAACTGTGTCAGAGACGAGTCAATCTTACTGAGGCTGTATCACTGGTTGAGTCAAACATTACAAGAAGGTAAGAACTCATATTTAACAGCATGAAGATGAATGAAGATAGACTGAGATACTTTATAAATGGGTTTCTTTTTTTGTGGTTGTGAGGCTTGAACTCTGGGCCTGGGCACTGTCCCTCAGCTTTTCAGCTCAAGGTGAGAGCTCTACCACTTGAGCTACAGCACCACTTCCGGTTTTCTGAGTCATTTATTGGAGATAAGAGTCTCACGGACAGGCAGGCTTTGGACGGCTGGCTTTGAACCGTGATCCTCAGATCTCAGCCTTCTGAGTAGCTAGGATTACAGGTTTGAGCCACCAGCTTTATAAATGGCTTTTTTTTATATGGGTGCAAAATTCTAGATAAGAGGAGCCTCTTATTTAGAATTGTTCCATATAATTATTTGCCTGGATATAGCAGGGATGACAGGTATACACTACCATACCCAGCTTCTTCTGTTGAGATGAAGTCTAAGTCTCAGGTTTTTCTACTCAGGCTGTGTGTGTGGGGCGGGGGGGAGGTCTACTCAGGGTGTGTGTGTGTGTGTGTGTGTGTGTGTGTGTGTGTGTGTGTGTGTGTGTGTGTGTGTGTGTGTGTGTGTGTGTGTGTGTGTGTGTGTGTGTGTGTGTGTGTGTGTGTGTGTGTGTGTGTGTGTGTGTGTGTGTGTGTGTGTAGGTCTACTCAGGGTGTGTGTGTGTGTGTGTGTGTGTGTGTGTGTGTGTGTGTGTGTTAGGGGCTTGAACTCACAGCCCCATGTTCTGGCTCTGCTTCCTTGTGTGTTAGGGCTTGAACTCACAGCCCCATGTTCTGGCTCTGCTTCCTTGCTTACAGGCTGACATTCATCACTTGATCTATGTCTCCAGTTTATTTTTTTGTTAATTGACAATAGAATCTTGTACTTTTGTTTTTTAACACTGGTTGGCTTTGAACTGTGATCTGCTAAGTCCTAGCTCCCTGAATAGATAGGGTTACAGGCATGGAATTTATTAACCACTTTTATATTATACTGAAAGTTTTGAGTTTTCTCAAGTTTTTCTATTTTTTGTTGGTCATAGGGCTTGAACTCAGCCTGGATGCTGTCCCTAAACTCTTTTGCTCAAGGCTATAGCTCTACCACTTTGAACCATAGCACCACTTTCGGTTTTCTGGTGGTTCATTGGAGATAAGAGGTTCATTGGGAATTTTCTGCCAGGGCAGACTTCAAACCACAATCTCAGATCTCAGTCTCCTGAGTAGCTAGGATTACAGGCATGAGCCACTGGCACTTGGCCACTTGTGTTCTTAATAGCAACATTTTTTTTGTTGTTGGTCATGGGGCTTGAACTCTGGGCCTGGGCTTGTCCCTTAGCTCTTCAGCTTAAAGTGAATGCTATACCACTTGAACCATAACACCACTTTCAGTTTTCCAGTGGTTAATAGGAGATAAGAGTCAGGGAAAAAAAGTCTTAGGAACTTTCCTCCCTGGGATGACTTTGAACTGTGATCCTCATATCTCAGCCTCCTGAGTAGCAAGGATTACAGGTGTCAGCCACCAGTGCCTGGCTAGCAACATTTTTTTTGAGGTAAGAACTCACTATATAACTCAGGCTGGCCTAGAACTCATGATCCTCTTGCTTCATTTTCCTAAGTATTGGGATTACAGAAAGTACCACCAGCAATCACAAAGATTTTCTGAATGTCAGATATAGTCTAGCAAATGGACTATTTATTACAGGTATGAGTCACTGGTGCCCAGTTCAAGTTTTTAATTCATGAATTTTAGTCTTATGGGTTACTGTGTAACACAAAGCTAACACTTTCATTCTAAGTGAGTTTTGTGTTATCTTTTACAGTAAGCTCTTTCCTATGTTACCATGTTTTTGAGAGCATCTTCCTATCACCTTCACATCTCTGTTACAAACTTTGGTACAAGCTAGCTAAGACATGTGAGACTTAGAATTTCTTAAATTTGGTCATTTACTTGTCACTTGAGCATAGTTTTAATTATACTTCACGTACACTATTATTTTGCAACTAGATGATTATTTTTACTCTTTCGGCTCTAGAGTGCCTTTGGTATAAGAAGAACAATTATGAACAGGGAGAAGAATTTATGAACCTCCTGGACACTGTCATCAGGGCACAGTGCTTCTTACAAGTAAGATTTCATATGTTTCCTACACACTTCATCACCCTTTACAAAAGTTTATTTAGATGTCCATCCAAAGCCTTTTATACAGTACCTAATATTTTTTGTAAACATGCTTGCTTACTTTGAAATTCATTGCAAATAGAACCTACAACCTAATTGGAATGGTGCTTATCTTTATGCTATTAGATTTTTGAACATAGCACATTAATTTGCAAATCAATAATTTAAGAGAACAAACCCTTCAATTAATTGAATTAACCGGTAAAGTAAATCATGTAGGATTGCTATTTGTGTTCTTTATTTTTATTTTTTTATTTTATTTTTTGTCAGTCATGGGACTTGAACTCAGGGCAATGGGCACTGTCCCTGAGCTTTTGTGCTTAAGTCTAGCACTCTACTACTTTGAGCCACAGTGCCATTTCTGGTTTTCTGATAGTTAATTGTAGATAGGAGTCTCATGGACTTTGCTGCTTGGGCTGACTTCAAACCATGATCCTCAGATCTCAGCCTCCTTAGTAGCTAGGATTAGAGGCATGAGCCACTGGCACTTATCTACTTGTGTTCTTTTTTTTTTTTTTTTGGTCCGGTCGTGGGGCCTGAACTCTGGGCCTGGGCACTGTCCCTCAGCTCTTCAGCTCAAGGCTAGCGCTCTACCACTTGAGCCACAGCACCACTTCCAGCTTTTTTCTTTTTGCTTATGTGGTGCTGAGGAATCGAACCCAGGGCCTCAGGCATGCAAGGCAAGTGCTCTACCACTGAGCCACCTTCCCAGCCCTACTTGTGTTCTTAATAGCAACGTTTTTTGAAGTAAGAACTCACTATATAGTTCAGTCTAGCCTAGAACTCATGATCCTTTTGCTTCATTGTCCTAAGTTTTGGGATTATAGGAATGTGTTACCACATCCAGCAACCACAAAGATTTTTGAATGTCAAATATGGTCTAGCAAATGGACTATTAATGTGAGTAACCAACCCTCAGTGATTTTAAATAGCATTTCATGTATCAGTACTGTCCAGGAGCTTTATGAAAAACTTACTCCTTGTTTTATATGCCTCTATTGCTGCCTATTCTTCTCTTTATTGGGATGCTTCCAGCACCCAATTTCTCACATGTTTTGAACTCCCAGAAGGCAGAAGCCATATCTAACTTTTCTTCATGTACAAGTACTAAGCTTGGTACCTAGTACAAAAAAGATGCTCAGTCAGTGTTTATTCATTGCATCTGAGTGATTATAGTAGGATAGAGGAAGCAGTGTTAGGTGATATATTGGTTTCTTGCTTAGGAAGATGAATAGTGTTCACTGAGAAAAAAAATATAGGAGGAACAGGCATGGAAGGAAAAATAAATTTGATTTAAACAATACTTGTGAGGTGTCATAACCAGTAGGTAGTAAGATGAGTCTAGAGCTCAGAAGTAAGATTTGGGCTAGAGATAGAGATTTAGGACTCATCATTTTTTTTTTGGGGGGGGGGTCCAGTCGTAGGGCCTGAACTCTGGGCCTGGGCGCTGTCCCTCAGCTCTTCAGCTCAAGGCTAGCACTCTACCACCTGAGCCACAGCGCCACTTCCGGCTTTTTTCTTTTTGCTTATGTTGTGCTGAGGAATCGAACCCAGGGTCTCATGCATGCAAGACAAGCGCTCTACTACTAAGCCACCTTCCCAGCCCCAGGACTCATCATTTAAAGGTGTAGATTTTAGCCTTGATATGGATAACATTGTCCAAAGAATTTGTCACAAAATGAAGTTGTGGGACAGAGTTTTTATATATGCCATACTTAAGGCTGAAAGGAAATAAAGGGAAGCTCTGGGTCCTTAATCTAGTGGAAATATAAGTAACCTAGACACTAGGAACTCTGTCAGACTTTGCATTTGGTTTATGGCTGCTAATGAAATTCTAGCCCCCTTAAATAACTTTCTACACATTTTATTGACTGTTCAATTTATTGTATATATTCTACAATAATGTTTAGTATGTACGTATGTATGTATTTATGTCAGTCATGGGGCTTGAACTCTGGGCTGGTCATCTCTTAAGCTCAAGGCTAGTTCTCTACCACTTTGAGCCACAGCGCCACTTCTGTTTTTTCTGGTGGTTGATTGGAGATTAGAGTCTCTGCCCAGGCTGGCTTTGAACTGTGATCCTCAGATCTCAGCCTCCTGAGTAGCTAGAATTACAGGTATGAGCCACCAGTGCCTGGCTGTTTCATTTATTTTTAAAATGTTGGTTATTTTTTTATCTCCTTCCCACTTGTTGAGCTTTATAGTGTTTGGACTCTGTTAACAAAGATGGTAATATATTGAAATACTAATCTTCTCATCTTTTGTTGTTGGTTATGGGGCTTGAACTCTGGGCCTGGGTGCTGTCTCTCAGCTTTTCAGCTCAAGGCTAATGCTCTACCACTTGAGCCACAGTGCTACTTCTGGTTTTCTGGTGGTTTATTAGAGATTAGAGTTTCACAGACTTTCCTGCCTGGGCTGGCTTTGAACTGCAGTCCTTAGATCTCAGTCTCCTGAATAACTAGGATTACAGGAATGGGCCACTGGTGTCCTGCTCTTCTCATCTTTTTACTGAGAAAAGTTTGGTACTTATCTTAAGGTTTTGATTATATCATTGACAAAATTTGGTCTTAGAATGGATTAACTATAATACAAAAGAAACTGGCCCTGTAGGGAGTAAAATGATTGAAGAGTCCCATGTAAAGCTGTATTAATTAATGTTTCAGGAGGGGTTTTATTCCTGTGAAGCATTCCTGTATAAAAGCTTTCCTCTCTGGGATGGTATCTGTTGCCGATCACAGTTTCTGCAGCTCATGAGCTGGATTCCTTTTAGCAGCTTCTCTGGTATGTATCATAAAAACTGGAGTCATTTAATTCAGTGTAAATAACTGAGATGATTCTGAGTAATCTTGTATTTTTTAATTCCTAGAAATAAAGCCACTTCTATTTGACCATCTGGCACCTCTCTTTTTTACTTCAACTGTTTATTTCAAGGTAAAGCAAACAACCCCCATCTTGATCACTCTTAGTAAGATGTATTATTCCATTACCAGTGATATATGATTTCAAATGTATATTTTAGCAGTGCTTTTCTTTTTAAATTTTTTCTTTTATTTTTATTATGATGGTGATATACAGAGGGGGTTATAGTTACATAAGTAATGTCACCCCTTCCCTTGCTTTCTCCCTATTTCAGCAGTATTTTTTTTATTGTAAAGGTGATGTCCAGAGGGGTTATAGTTACCTAAGTAATGTAATGAGTACATTTCTTTTTGAACAGTGTTACCCCCTCCTTCATTTTCTCCTTCAGCAGGGCTTTTTTAACTGATTCTTTCAGACCTGGGCTTTGAGATACTGCATTACTCAATTCAAAGTTAATCATAGTATTTTCTACATATTTTTGGTGGGTGTTTTTGGTGGTTACTGGAGTTTAAACTTAGGGTCTTTTCACATGCTAGGAGGGCTCTATACTGCTGAACTACACTTCTAGCTTCTTTGTGCTGGTTATTTTTGTGAAAGGATCTCAATTTCTGTCTAGGCATGTACTGGGACACTGATGCTATCTTTTTGCTTTCTGATGTAGTTGGGATGATAGACCTTGTCACCACTCCCAGTAACTTCCACTAAAGTAGAATCTTGAATACTTTGATGTTGACTCCTAGAATAACAATCTTCCTGAACTCAGTCTTCTAGCGTACCTAGGATGACAGGTGTCCAGCTATTGGTTACTGTTCTATGCCCAAGCTGGCCTTGAGCCTCAATCCTCCAAATTTCAGTCTCCCAAAGTAGGTATGTTTACATGTGTGATTCTGTACATGCCTGTGGGAATATAGTAGTGCCAAAGCAAAAAAGCTTCCTGTGACATTTATATTGAATATTTATGTTGAGCAGTAAGAGTAGCTTACTTAGACCCATGTGCTGATAGCTCATGCCTTTAATACTAGTTACTCAGGAGGCTGAGATGTGGAGGATTGTAGTTTGAAGCCAGTCAAGGCAGAAAAGTTTTCTTTTTTGGGTCCGGTCATGGGGCCTGAACTCTGGGTCTGGGCGCTGTCCCTCAGCTCTTCAGCTCAAGGAAAGTGCTCTACCACTTGAACCACAGCGCCACTTCTGGCTTTTTTCTTTTTGCTTATGTGGTGCTGAGGAATCGAACCCAGGGCCTCATGCATGCAAGGCAAGTGCTCTACTACCAAGCCACCTTCCCAGCCCCGGGAGAAAAGTTTTCTGTACTTCAAAATAAATAGAAAAAGTAGAGCTGGAAGCAAGCAGTCTCAAGTAGTAGAGTGTCAGCCTAGCAAGCTCGAGGCCCTGTGTTTGAACTCCAGTCCTGCCAAACCTAATAACAATAATAATAATAGAGTACTTGGAACCGAGAGTATGAAAAAGCAAGAGGTATAGCGCGCACACACACACACACACACACACACACACAGAGAGAGAGAGAGAGAGAGAGAGAGAGAGTCCTGGGACTTGAACTCATGGGACTTGAACTCAGAGCCTGGGTACTATCCCAAGCTTTTTTGTTCAATTTAGTGTTCTACCACTTGAGCCACAGCTCCACTTCTGGCTTTCCGGTGGATAGTTATAGATAAGAGTCTCACAGATTTGCCTGTCTTGACAGATTTGAACTGTGTTCCACAGATCTCAGTATCCTGAAGTAGTTAAAGGATTATAGGCATGAGCCACTGGCACCTGGCTTGAACATATTTTTAACCCTAATATATGGTGTCAATTTTTTTTCCAGAGTTTGGAATCATAGCTTATAATTGCTTGCTTGCTTGCTCTGCTCTGCCACTTGAGCCATGCCTATAGCCTATTATTTTGGAGATTGAATCTCATAGGCTTTTATGCCTAGTCTAGTTCAAACTGCACTCCTCCAGGTCTCAGCCTCCTGACTAGCTAGGATTTGGCATGAGCTACTGGTGCCTATTATAACTGTATTTGTTTATATGTGAATAAGGCCCTGGGGAATTAAGAAAAGGGCTGAGAAAGGAAAGATTAGAATTGTCACATTATTATTCTGAAAAAATAGAGTAACTTGTAGTTGTGGACCCTAGGGTAAAAAGAGCGGGAAACTCTTAGCACATTTTTTGGCACCTTTTTAAATAATGGAAGGGACAAGAAGTTTAATGTTTTTATTTGATGATAATATTTGATTTAAAGAAATGTAATTCAGAGAAATGGCTGCTCCTAGGTTAAGTTGGGGAAGTCCTCTTGGAGAGTTTCTTGTAGGGAATATAGGAAAATAAACTTGCATTGGTATCCACCTGTCTCCTGAGAACTGATGGGTTGGAGCAGCACCTGTTGTAAGTTGGATGTGGTCATCTCCACAGTCCCTTCCACATCTCATCTTCTCCTAGTTCTGAACACAAATTTGAATGATTTTATGAGTGACTTTTTTTGTTTTGTCTTGCCCTCAGTGTAGTGTTCTTCAGAGTCTTAAAGAACTGCTTCAGAATTGGCTGTTGTGGCTTTCTGTGGACGTCCCCCAGAGTCCGATGACATGCAGTCCTCTGTAAGTTGTCTCACTGTCCTCCTAGGAGATGATCAATACAAAATGTTTATGTACGGTGTTTAATAGTGTGGCATGAGGCCTAATCCTTTCACATAAATTAGGAATTAACTAGGAATTTTCTGAAAGTTCTTTTTTTGTTATTTTTTACTCTTCCCCACAAGTCTGAGAGAAAGGTTAATTCAAGCTGTTACTATGTAAAACAAGAAATTATCCTTTCTCCTGTAAGCAACTTGACAGAATTTAATATAGTAAAACATTGGAGAGCTGAGATTTGAATTTTTCACTTTCATTCAGTGTGACTCACTTTATAAAATGCATTTTTATATCCAAAACCAACTTGGAGGATGGTTAGAAGAATCTCCAAGGTAATTTTGCTGCACAACTATGTTTTTATGTTCTTCTTGTATATTTTGCCTATATGCATTAATTAGAGTTAAAAAAGAGCCTGATTTCTATTATGTAGATGCTGAATTTCTTTTTTAATAATTTTTATTGACATTACATAATTACACAAATTTCATAGTATTGTGGGATAGTGATATTTAGTTAAAGTCACAAACATATTTTAACCTTCACAAAGCACATTGTCATTATCATGGCCTATAAAATTTATGGACTCTACAAACTTTGACACTACAGCTATTTCTTCCAAATTGGGTGATAGGAACATTTCTTTCCTTTTGCATAGTGTAAGTTGTTCCCTCTTTCTCGCATTTCCTCTCTCCCATGGCTGCCCATGTCCAGTGCAGCTGATGGGCCCCTCTGTTGTATTTTTTCCTGTTTCCCTCTGATTCTGTGCCCTCCTCTTAGCTTCCCTCAGATGTACACATGTATATACCATATATGAGGTCAAGTAGATGACTGAATTTCTGCATAATCTGATTGTTTTGACTTTTTCTGCCAAAGAACCTTTGGCTATTCCTATATTCTTTTATCAGCTATATCATCTCTTAGCACTTAAAAAAACTTTATATTATAGAAAATTGCAAACCTAATGAAAAGCCATGTTGCCCCTGGGTGCCTGCATCTAGTTTCCATAGTTGTCAATTCACAGCTAAACTTCGTTCAACTTCCACTTGAATTATTTTTAAGCAAAATTCAGATACCATTTCAGTTATTAAAAATGTACCATTATGATACCTAAAAATCAATATTTATTATAAGTATCTTTATATATCTAACAATGTTCAAATACCCCTAAGTTTTGGTTGCAATGTGGAAACATTGTTCAAATTCCCTTTATAGTTAAAAAAATGAGCTCAGGCTTGCATGTAGGCACGCATATTTGTGTGTGTGTGTGTGTGTGTGTGTGTGTGTGTGTGTGTGTGTGTGTGTGTGTGTGTGTGTGTGTGTGTGTGTACATTTTTGTGCTAGTTCTGGGCTTGAACTCAGGGCCTGGGCACTGTCCCTGAGCTCAGGCTTGCATGTAGGCACGCATATTGTGTGTGTGTGTGTGTGTGTGTGTGTGTGTGTGTGTGTGTGTGTGTGTGTGTGTGTGTGTGTGTGTGTGTGTGTGTGTGTGTGTGTGTGTGTGTGTGTGTGTGTATACATTTTTGTGCTAGTTCTGGGCTTGAACTCAGGGCCTGGGCACTGTCCCTGATCTTTTTTGCTCAAGTCTAGCGGTCTACCACTTGAACCACAGCTCCTCCTCTGGTTTTTTTTTTGGTGGTTAATTAGAGATAAGAGTCTCATGGACTTTTCCTGCCCAGGGTGATTTCAAACCACGTTCGTAGATCTCAGCCTCCTAAGTAGCTAATATTAAAGTCATGAGCCACTGGCACGCAACTAGGCCTATGGTTTTATTCCTCTAGCAATCTGTAATGTCAGTAGAGTGGAGAATAGAGGCTCCTTAAGGGTATGTAAATTGTTTTTAATTTGTCATATTCATTGCTGTAATGTTTCCAAATATGTCTGGTCACTTTTAGAAGGAAATACAACATTGGTGGGTAGTGAGGACATTTTGTACAGATTCTCAGGCTCTTTCTTAGCTCTATTGAGTTAAACTCTAGAGCTATCCCAGCAATCTGAGTTAACATCTCTACAATTCTGGTGGAAGCTGAAGTTTAAGAACCACTATTGCTAAGAAATTCTATTAAATATGGTATGCTTGGATCTATAACATTAGGTCAATTAGGCAATGGAAGTCTCTGGTATGGTACAATTTCAAAAATTATGGGTTCCTTCTTTATTAGTGTCATAAATTTGAGGAGAATATCTAAAAAGGAGTAATGTTTTCTAAAATCCATAAAATTATTACACAGATAGTTAACTTTACTTGTCACAATAGTATTTGCAATTATACACTATAGCTTTTAGTTATTTCCTTTTGGAGATATGGATGTGATGTTGTATTTCTGTTGTATGACTGGCCAAAAGGTTGAAGTTATAGATCACCAGAAGAAAGGGGTAGAAAACTGTCCTCAGCAGTGGTTCCCCAGGGACATTTCTGGTTGTCACAATGACAGGAAGGAGAGTGCTATCATCATTTAATAGGTAGCTTCTAGGGAAGCTTAATGTTCTGCAGTAAGTGGGGAGTTAGGGATAGTCCTGAACAATGAATTGATTTATCTAAGGTACCAGTAGTTTCCTGTGGAAAAATACTTTAAAATTAGAAGTTATAAGTCTGGTTGTTGTTCTGTCATACAATACTTGCCTAGCATAAATGAAGGATCTGGGATGGATCCCCAACATGACAAAAAGAAATGTTATGAGCAGTAATCATTATTTTTAAGCTATTTGAGACTTCTTTGTCAAATCTTGCCAAAATTCATAGTTAAATATCAGTTTGGGAGTGCCACGTATCAGTAGTTCATGCCCATCATCCTAGCTACTCAGGAGGCTGAGATCATGGTTTGAAGTGAAGTTAGGCTGAGCAGGAAAGTCTGTGAGACTTGTTTCCAGTTAACCACCAAAAAGCCAGAAGTGGAGCTATGGTTCAAGTTGTAGAGCACTCACTTAGAGCAAAAAAGTTTAGGGACAGTGGCCTTGCCCTGAGTTCAAGCATGGGCTTGAACACACACACATCCGTTTTGGAAGTAGCCAGCTAATGTATGGATGCTGCCCAGTTCAACAGTCTCCGAATCCTTCCCTACTTGTTTTCATACTGACTTATTATGACAATGGGTCCTGGTAAATTAATCATCAATCTCTCAAGCTCTGCAACTGTATATTTTCCATATGTTTTTTGTGTACAACCATTGTTGACCATCTAAATCAATGAGTAAAAGATTTCACATATGTAGGTCTTTCCTAAATCTATTTAAGAATGGATTGGAAGGCAGGAGTGAGACAGAGATGGATTGAACTACTTCTTTTAGGCCCTGTGTGATTTAGAAAAACTCTGTTCAATGATTTACAGAGAATATAAAATATCTTGATTTAGTTATTACTAAAAGAATGAAAAATGTCCCCACAATTGCTTAGTCAGTTTCAGCACTGAATTGAATTCTGATCAAAGTATTTGTAGCACTATTTTTTTTGTAGTGGGGTTTGAACTCTGTTCCTGGGCACTGTCCCTGAGCAATTCCGTTCAAGGCTTAGTGCTCTACCACTTTGAGCCACAGTGGCACTTCCAGTTTTCTGGTGGTTAATTGGAGATAAGAGTCTCATGGGCTTCCTGCCCAGTCTGGCTTTGAACAGCAAACCTCAGATCTCAGCCTCCTGAGTAGCTAGTATTGCAAGTGTGAGCCACCGGCACCAGGCGATAGCAGTATTTTTAGAGGAGGAATTGAGAAACAACTGCATTTTGATTTGTGTTCTGAGTTTTCATTCAGTAGGCAGCAGTGCTGCTTGGTACCACATGTTTATCCTTTTGAACCACTTTTTTTGTACACCTGCTAGGGCTTGAAATCAGAGCCTGGGCCTTGTCTTTCTTTAGCTTTTTCACTCAAGGCTAAATGCTCTACTACTTAAGCCACACCCTCACTTCCAACTATTCGGTAGTTAAATTGGAGATAAGAATCTCATGGACTTTTCCTCTCAGCCTGGTGTGAGCCATCAGTGTCTGGAATATTTTGTTTTGGCTTGGAATTGATTAGTTCTCTTGTTTCTGGTTTATCATTTTTTAAAGTTTTATTCTGATATTTTTGGCCAATCCTGGAGCTTGAACCCAGGGCCTGGGCACTGTCCCTAAGCCTCTCTGTGCTCAAGGCTAGCGCTCTACCACTTGAGCCATAGTGCCAATTCTGGCTTTTTCTGTTTATGTGGTAGTGAGGAACTGAACCCAGGCTTCATGCATGCTAGACAAGCCCTTTACCACTAAGCCACATTCACAGCCTAGCCTTTTCATTCATACCTACCGCTCTACCATTTGAGCCACACCTCCTTCTAACTTTTTGCTGGTTGATTGGAGATAAGAATCTCTTGAATAGGCTGACTTTGAGCTATGGTCCTCAGATCTCAGCCTCTTGAGTAGGTAGGATTACAGATATGAGCCACCAGCACCTGGCTTTACGTAACTCTCACTCAATGATTCCTATAATTGAGGAGTGCTAGGGCTCAGTGCTTATGAGTTGTTAGAAAAGCAAAAGGTTCCTGCTGTGATCCTTATCAGTTATTGGAAATAAATATGCTATTGCTAAGATCCTTAGACAATGGTAGCATTATCTTAAGTTTGTCTAGAGCTTCTTTTCCTTCCCATGTTTACTTGTAGTGTATTGTTGCTAATGGTATTCTATGACTTGATTTGACTCATTCTCCAAAAGCTAAGTGTAGTTTTGTAATTAATCACTGATTTTGTTTAAGTGAATTACTTCATTGAAATTGGAGCATTGATAGTTTCAAATCTCTATCATCTTTTTTTTTTTTTTTTTTGGGTCCGGTCGTGGGGCCTGAACTCTGGGCCTGGGCGCTGTCCCTCAGCTCTTCAGCTCAAGGCTAGTGCTCTACCACTTGAGCCACAGCACTACTTCTGGCTTTTTTCTTTTTGCTTATGTGGTGCTGAGGAATCAAACCCAGTGCCTTATGCATGCAAGGCAAGCGCTCTACCACTGAGCCATCTTCCCAGCCCTCTATCATCTTCTTTTTGTATCTATTATCTACTTGTAGATTGGAGACTATAAGCACTTATTTTTCTTTCATTACTCATTTTTATTAGCATATTTTGGTTGTACAAAGTGTATGTAGGTTCTTTGTGATATTTCCACCCATGTAACTGCAAGCCTTTTGCTGCTCAGATTGTGAATGTTATGTTTCTTATTGTAGGGACACGACTTTGGGTGCATCCATCATCTCTGTGTCTAAACTGATTGAATACGTAGGATGGCTGTCAACAATAGCATTGCGCCTGGAGAATAACAGTGCTTTCTTGCTGCATTTCATTTTGGACTTTTATGAGAAGGTAGGACATAGTTCACTTTCCTTATTTAGATTTATGTGATAGCTGTTTACTAGACTATTATTTAGATTTTATGTACATCATCAGGCAGGGAGGCTGTGATTGTGTTGGGATAGTTAAAATAGCCTAATGTTCTGAAATTAATCATTCCATTTTTATTTGAATAGCTGATTAGTATAACACAAAGTGTAACACTTGGTCAGATATCACATCAGTATACCTATTATAATCTCCAACCCCTGAAAATGTCATTTTTCTTGTCAAATATTTATATCTACCTCTTTTCTTTCTTTCTTTTTTAGTGGTAGTAGAGTTTGAACTCATGGACTTGAGCTTGTTAGGCAGGCTTTCTTCCACTTGAGCCACACTCTCCCAGCCTATCATTATGTTCACCTTTCAACTCCTGTTTTCTCCTAGTACACGATACCTTTATAATTCTAGTCATCTTTTTTTTCTTATTCACCCTAGACAGAACTATTACCATAAAATATCCATTATACTCACATTTTTCCTGCTTCCTTTCTTCACTAATACCTAGTTGTCTTATATTACACATTTTCTCAGAAGCATGCAGTCCTTCATTTTCCAGGCTGACAACTAACTTACAAGGTAAATATTGAAAGGACTTAAGGAGAAAGAAATGCTCCCATTATTAATCAAATCTTTTTTTCTTAATATATGTTTTTTATTGTAAAGATACTGTACAGAGTGGTTACAGTTACCTGAGCAAGGTAATGAGTCCATTTCCTATCGAGCATTGTTACACCTCCTTTTTATTTTTCCCCTAACACCCCTTTCCTCCCCACCTCCCCAATTCCTCCCTCCCCTCTCCCGAGCTGCCCCCCACCAAAAAAGTTGTAAAGTTCATTTTCAACATTCTGTCTTGTACATCTCATTGTTACAGTGGGTCATCCTGTATCCTTATTTCAGCATTTTGTTATCAAATCTTAAGATTTCTTCCCCACCCAGAAATGAAAGATTTAAAGATAATGGTATTCGAAATAATTTTCTATAGTTAGGTTAGGTTGATGAGGTACATTTTACAGACTTGTAACTACCTGCTTTATTTAGGAATTGAGCAGGTCCAAATCTAATGTTATATTATTGCTTATATTATTGTTCTTTAGATAAACTTGATTGATTTCTAGGGAATAATCTATAGACTGATGTTATTACTTTTCCCAAAAGGTGTGTGACATATATATAAATTATAACCTTCCATTAGTGATGTTGCTTCCTCCTGGGATCTTTTATTCTGCACTTCTCAGCCTGGATACCAGTATCTTGAACCAGCTCTGTTATATTATGCACAGGTACAAGCCTTTTTTGATCAATGTATGGGTACTACATCATAATTTTATCCTCATCTTCTAACCTTAATACAATAAAAATTCCTTTTTATTTTCTACCAAGACCTATGTAAATAAAGAAATGTCCTACTTTCGGAGAGGACCTTTCCACTGTGAGGCTAGGATACCTGAGTTATTTTCAAATACCTCACTATAGGAAATATAGATATTAAAATCATAGTTAAGGACCAGTGTGCCATGGTACTGATGTATTCAGCTTCAATTATGAATTTCTATGTCTTAAAGAGAAATTAATATTTGTGGCTAACTGGTTTAAATATATGTAGTATTCATGTAAGAACATTTTTCAGAATATAAGAGGAGCTATTGCCTGTTAGGTGAACTCACGTATTATTTCTGATCTTCTCTTTCACTTATGGATTGTACTTACTATTTTCAATCCATATAGATCATTTTGGTATAACTTGTAGAACTATGTCAAGGTTAACATATTTCAAAACTAGTAAGTAATAGTTGTCAGGCAAGAAAAATTGCATTTGTACATTTTTTTATTTTTTCTTTTGTATTTTTTTCACATAATGAAAACGTTCTATATCAGTCATTTTTAGTGACTTTTAAGTCTCTGTTAGAATTTTTTGGCATTTGTATTAACTTATATTAGTTATACAGAGGGGGATTTCATTGTTACTTTTCTACACATTTCCAATATATTCCAATATATTCCACCCCCTCTACCACCAAAACAATTTCAACAGATTTCCTTGTTCTATTTTTATAGCTGCAAAACAGTCTATTTTGACCACATTTATCCTCTTTTAAAATATAGTTCAGGGCTGGGAAGGTGACTCAGTGGTAGAGTGCTTGCCTTGCATGCATGAGGCCCTGGGTTCTATTCCTCAGCACCACATAAGCAAAAAGAAAAAAAAAGCCGGAAGTGGTGCTGTGGCTCAAGTGGTAGAGCACTAGCCTTGAGCTGAAGAGCTGAGGGACAGCTCCCAAGCCCAGAGTTCAGGCCCCACGACCGGACCCCCCCCCAAAATATAGTTCAAAATTATTCAATTTCTATTTTTCTTTTCCCCTTCAATTTGGTGTGTATGTGTATATGTATATGTGCATGTGTGCACGTGTGCATGTGCTGGTCCTGGGGCTTGAACTCAGGGCCTGGTTATTGTCCCTAAGCTTTTCACTCAGAGCTGGCACTCTACCACTTGAGTCACAGTTTAACTTCCAGCTTTTTTGGTAATTAATTGGAAATAAGTCTCGTAGACTTTCCTGCCTAGGATGGCTTTGAACCAGAATCCTCATATCTAAGCTTCCTGAGTACCTGGGATTACAGGTGTAAGACACCTGCACCCAACTAGCTTGCTTGCTCTTTCTTTCTTTCTTTTTTCTTTCTTTCTCTCTTTCTCTCTTTCTCTCTTTTTCTTTCTTTCCTCTCCTTCCTTCCTTCCTTCCTTCCTTCCTTCCTTCCTTCCTTCCTTCCTTCCTTCCTTCCTTCCTTCCTTCCTTCTTTCTCTCTTTTTCTTTCTTTCCTCTCCTTCCTTCCTTCCTTCCTTGCTACCTTCCTTCCTTCCTCCTTTCTTTCTCTTCCTTCCTTCCTTCTTTTCTATTTATCTTTCTAGCTTTCTTTCTTTTTTGTCATGGGGCTTGAACTCTGGGCCTGGGTGCTGTCCCTGAGGTCTTCAGCTCAAGATGAGCGCTTTACTATTTGAGCCACAGTGCCACTTCCAATTTTCTGGAGGTTAATTGGAGATAAGAGTCTCATGGACTTTCCTGCCTGGGCTGGTTTTGAACTGTGATATGCAGATCTCAGCTTCCTGAGTAGCTAGGATTACAGGCATGAGCCACCAGTGCCCAGCTATCTATTTGTGTTTTTTCTTATAGTAAAATATTAGAAGTATATTGTTTGTTGTTTTTTTCCTTATTGAGGTATAATTTACAGAGATCAAGTGCACATCTTAAATTTCCAACTCAGTTGTTTTTGCAGTATTGAGAATTAAACACAGGGCCTCTTAGCAAGTGTTGTACCACTGAGCTTTACCCCTAACCATATAAATCAGTTTTCAGCCTCTATTTTTGTTGTAGTGCTGAGGATGGAATCATAGGGCCTCATGCATGCTAGGCATGCTTTCATTGAGCCACACCAACTAACCCCCCTCTTTTTTGTTTGTTTTAGGTGGTACTGGGGTTTGAATTCAGGGCCTCATGTTTGCTAAATGAACACTCCACCACTTGGGCCACACTCCCAGCTACTGGGCCTCTTGTGTTTTTAAATTCTTTGAGGATAATATACTAAAAAAGTATAAAATCCTCAACTAGACAACTGAGTATTTATTATGTTCTCATTTGCTTATGTTTACATTTACAGAGTATATTTTTATTTCTTTTACAAAAGAGTTACATCTAAATGAATATTGAGGGCTGGGAAGGTGGCTCAGTGGTAGAGCGTTTGCCTTGCATGCTTGAGGCCCTGGGTTCGATTCCTCAGCACCACATAAGCAAAAAGAAAAAAAGCCGGAAGTGGTGCTGTGACTCAAGTGGTAGAGCACTAGCCTTGAGCTGAAGAGCTGAGGGACAGCTCCCAAGCCCAGAGTTCAGGCCCCACGACTGGAACCAAAAAAAAAAAAAAATGAATATTGAATGCTTCATTGTATTTGTTCTCACTATTAGGTATCGTGATAACATGACTGCTGCAAAGAAAAAGGATATGTTGGAAAAGGTATGAATTGTGGGGCTGGGAAGGTGGCTCAGTGGTAGAGTGCTTGCCTTGCATGCATGAGGCCCTGGGTTCGATTCCTCAGCACAACATAAGCAGAAAAAGCCAGAAGTGGTCCTGTGGCTCAGGTGGTAGAGCGCTAGCCGTGAGCTGAAGAGCTGAGGGACAGCGCCCAGGCCCAGAGTTCAGACCCCACAACTGACAAAAAAAAGGTATGAATGGTAAACCTCTGTGTTTAAATCACTGTTTGAAAATTGAATAGACATATATGACCCACAGTGAGATGTAAAGGGAGAAGAGATAATAACAATTTTTATTTTTTTCCATTAGACAAAATCAGAGTTCAATTTCAGCAGCAAGACCTGTGAAGAATTTAATAACTATTTGACAGTCATGATTGGTTGCCTGTGGACATCCAAACCTTTCAAGAAAGAAATGTATATTGAACCCCACATCCTAGGAAAAGCTAAAGTAACAGAGTATAAGAGCAATTTAAATTTAGTTCTTCATCCTTCTCTACTAAATTATGCTGCTTCCTTTTTGCTACAGGTAAGAGTAAATGAGTTGGAGATTTGGTAGTTTTTTATGTACTGTGCCTGAAAAAATAGGAATTGCTACAAATTAGGAGTGGCTGTATTAGAAGATATATGTTCCATATATTTTAGTACTAATTACATTTTGGTCATTGGGTTAGGCTTTGGAGACTATGACCTTAAGTAAGTCTCCATTCTGTAAGAGTCTTTAGTCTCATGGCAGAGACAGGCTTGTAGATAAACTACTGTGATACAGTGTGGTAAAGTTAGAATAGATAACAGTTAAAATATGATAGAAGAATGATTGCATAGTTCTGCTGAATGGCATGATGTGGCATTTGAAGAAAAGGAAGCCCTTAAAATTAGACTTTCTAGGCAAGATTGGAAATGTAGACTTGAAGCCAAAGAAGATTTTGGATTTAATGGACTGATAATATGTGGGCAGGGGAGGGGTGTGTCTCTTCTTTCAGGACCTAAGCCTGTCATTTTAAATCTGATCAGTGCCTTGGTGAAGACAGTGGGATTTTAACTATTTTGAAGAAACCTGAATTCAAAAGTCCCTTAACAGGTTGTTGGAGGTGTGGCTCACATGGTAGAGCACCTGCAGCAGAATTGTAAAGTTCCAGATCATGCTGGGACATACAGCAAGTGTTTTCTGTGCTTATTGACCATTTATCTACTTTCTTTGAGAAATACTTATTCAGATCCTTGGCTTTCTTTGCCAGTCCTAGAGCTTTAACTCTGGGCCTGGGGGCTGTCTCTTAGCTTTTGTGCTCAAGGGTAGCTCTCTGTGACTTGAGCCAGAGCTCCACTTCCAGGTTTTTTGTGGTTAATTGGAGATAAGAGTATCATAGACTTTTCTCCCCAGATTAGCTTCAAGTGGCTGGTTAGTACAATTCTCAGATCTCAGCCTCCCACCAAGCTAAGATTACAGGCAAGAGTCATCAGTGCCTGGCCCTTGGGTCATTTTTTAATTGGGTTATTTGCCTTTTATTAATTAAGTTGTAAATGTTCTTTTCATATTCAAGACAAATTTTTTAACTATGTTATTGGCAAAGTTGTTTCCTATTTTTATATTGGTATCTTTTTAAGCATAAAACATTTCACTTTGAAGTCAATTTATATTTTTCTTGTCCTGTTTGTACTTTTGTGATCAAACCTAAAATATAGTTGCCTAACCTAAGTCATCAGGATTCACTCTTAAGTTTCAGTACCTTGAAATGCTATGAATTTTAAAACCAACTTGTCCTAGTGTTGTTTTTTATTTTGTTTTTTGTTGTTTTGGGGGTTTTGCCAGTACTGGGGCTTTTAACTTTGGGCCTATACTCCTGCTCGCCCCTTTCCCTAAGAACTGAACATTCTCCCACTTGAGTTAAGCTTCTACTTCTGACCTTTTGCTGGTTATTTGGAGATGAGTCTGTCCAATTTGTTTGCTTAGGCTGGCTTAAAATTTCAGTCCTTAGAACTCAGCCTCTTCAGTAGCTAGGATTATAGATGAAAGCCACCAGCATTCAACCAATTTGTCAGTTTTTCCAAAGATTACCACTAGGATTCTGATAAGTAGTGCTTTGAACCTATAGCTCAATTTGGATAGTACTTCTATCTTAATGATACTAATTCTTTTCAAGGAGGGAGCATCAGATGCCTTCCCATTTAGGTCCTCCTTAGTGTTCTGTGTGTCTGTGTGTGCATGCATGCATGTATGTGTGTGTACACACGCCACACACACACACACTGGTTCTGGGGCTTGAAATCAGGGACACACACACACACACACACACACAGGTTCTGGGGCTTGAAATCAGGGCCTGGGTACTGTCTGGTGCTACACACACACACACACACACACACACACACACACACACACACACACACACACACATACTGGTTCTGGGGCTTGAAATCAGGGCCTGGGTACTGTCTGGTGCTACACACACACACACACACACACACACACACACACACACACACACACATACTGGTTCTGGGGCTTGAAATCAGGGCCTGGGTACTGTCTGGTGCTACACACACACACACACACACACACACACACATACACACACACGTTCTGGGGTTGAAATCAGGGCCTTTTTTGTTCAAAGCTAGTGTTCTACCAATTGAGTCACAGCTCCACTTCTGGGGGTTTTTTTGGCGAAAGAGGGGCAGTGTTTAATTGGAGAAAAGAGTCTCACAGACTTTCCTGCCCTGACTGGCTTTGAACCACGATCCTCAAATCTCAGCCTCCTGAATAGTTAGGATTACAGGTGTGATCCTACAGTTAGGATTACTGGCACCATAATTTTTATGGTGTTATTATATGGATTTGCTTTTAAAATTAATTTTTTTGGGGTCCAGTTGTGGGGTCTGAACTCTGGGCCTGGGCGCTGTCCCTCAGCTCTTCAGCTCAAGGCTAGCGCTCTACCACTTGAGCCACAGCGCCACTTCCGGCTTTTTTTCTTTTTGCTTATGTGGTGCTGAGGAATAGAACCCAGGGCCTCAAGCATGCAAGGCAAGTGCTCTACCACTGATCCGCCTTCCCAGACCTTAAAATTAATTTTCATATTGCTGATTGCTCTTGTGTAAAAATGCAGTTAATATGTGTATAATGATTTTTTTTTTTTGGTCGGTCGTGGGGCTTGAACTCTGGGTGTGGGTGCTGTCTCTGTGCTCTTCAGCTCAAGGCAAGTGCTCTACTGTTTGAGCCACAGTGCTACTTCCAGTTTTCTAGTCGTTTATTGGAGATAAGAATCTCATTGCTTTCCTGCCCAGGCTGGCTTTGAACCATAATCCCCAGATCTCAGCCTCCTGAGTAGCTAGGATTACAGGCGTGAGCCACCGGGGCCGGCTTGTATAATGATTTTTAGATAGAGCTTTTTAGTCGATTTCTTATGATATTCTTTATAAAAATTGTGTCATTTGTAAACAAGGATAATTTTATTCTTGTTTTCAAATCTGAGTACCTATTCTTCATCTTGCCTAATTGCACTGCCTGGATTAGATATAATGTTGAAGACAAATTGCAGAGTGGGTCCTTGATCATTTCAGTTTGACACCCATATAGTAAAAGATTCTTTGGATGCCTTTGTCATTGAAGAACTTTCCTTGTATTTTTCCTTTCCTTTTTATCCTTCATGAATATTAAATTTTGTACAATGCCTTTTCTACATCTACAAACATGGTCACATGGCTTTTGTTTTCTAGTCTATTCCTAGGATGTCTTACATGAATTGATGTTAGTACTTAACCAGGTTTGCATTCCTAGAATAAATCTCATTTTGTCTAAAAAATAAATCCTTTTATATGTTGCTAGATTTTGTTAGTAGTCTGGGAAGTTTCAGTGTTTATATTCATAAGGCATGTTGGTTTTCCTTATGATGTGTTTGGTTTGAGAATGAATTTGGTTATTTCTCTTTTCTGAGCTTGGAATATGCTTTCTTCTCCTGTTTTATACAAAACTTCATGAAGTATTGGCATTCTTCTTTAAAGTGTTTGGCATTGAAACCATCTGGTTTTGCTATTTTTTAGTGGAAAGTTTTAAAATTTCTAATTACCTTTGTTATTATAGGTTCATTCCTATTTCTTCTCCAGTTATTCTCAATTGTTAGTGTTTTTCAAAATGACCCACTTCATATAAGTGATCTAATCTATTGAAATTACTAAACCACCTTTTTTTATTTTTGTGAGGTTGTTAGTTTCCCAGCTTTTCATTTCTGACTTTAGTAATTCAAATATTCTTAGGGGTTTTTTTTTGGGGGGGGGGATCCGGTCATGGGGCCTGAACTCTGGGCCTGGGCACTGTCCCTCAGCTCTTCAGCTCAAGGCTAGCACTCTACCACTTGAGCCACAGTGCCACTTCCGGCTTTTTTCTTTTCACTTATGTGGTGCTTAGGAATCAAACCCAGGGTCTCATGCATGCAAGGCAAGCACTCTACTACTGAGCCACCTTCCTAGCCCCAAATATTCTTAGTTTTGTTTTGTTTGTTTGTTTTTTTGCTTATTCAGTCTGGCTAAACATTTGTATTAATATTTTTAAAGAATTGAGTTTTGATTTCACTTTTTTCTACTGTTCTTTCTAAATTATAATTGTGGTAAATATACATGATACATAAGTAAAAAGTATATGCATAGTTCAATGCCATACTACCATCACTTAGCCATTTATTTCTGCTCTGATCTTTATTATTTACTTCCTTCTTGCTTTTGGTTTAATTCTCTCTCCTTCTTCCTCTCTCTTCCCCTCTCTCATTTCTCTATGTAGCCCTGATGGCTTTGAATTTGCCAACCTTCTGTTTCCAGCTCCACTGCCACCTGAGTGCTGAGATTACAGATGTGTACCATTAGACCTAGATTTATTTTTTTAGGTTCTCAAAGTGGTAGATAAGATTACTGAATTGAGATTTTCCTTTAAAAAATGATATAGTCCTGTTACTTTTCTCAGGCTAGTCCCAAACTGATTTTGAGTGAGTCTCCTGCCTCTGGAGCTGGGACGACAGGCATATAGCACTGCCCTTAGTTTTGATAGTCCTCCTTTTTATAATATAGGCATTTATAGATAGAAATTGATATCAAAATGTTTTCTCATTTTCATTTTGATTTTTTTTACCATTTGTTTTTTTTAGGAATGTGGTGTTTAATTTTCACACATTTGTGAATTTCCCCAATTTCTATGATTGACTTCTTACTTATTTCTTTCTTATGGTTCTGGGAATCAAATCCAGTTCTCTGCACCTGGGTTAAGCAAGTGATCTATGCTTGGGCTACATCCCCAGTCACAAAAGAAAGAGCTGTATTTGCTCTGTTTTGCAGTGCTGGGGTTCAAACCCAGACCTTTCACATGCTAAGCGAGTACTCTCCCATTGAGCTACATCCCTAGTCCCTTTGTTATTGATTTCTATTTCATCTTGTTTTGGTCATTATTGGGCATGCAAATAATCACTCTGGAATATTAATTGTTTTAAAAGCTCTGACTCTCCCCCTATTCTATTCAGTCTAAGGTGTGTGCTTGTTTTTGGTGTTACAACCTGTTCATTAGGCTGCACTAATTACTTGTCACTTGCTTTATTGTTTTCATCAATGCTCTGAGGCACAAATTGCTCAGCTGTCTTACTGAATTAAATTCAGGCAAGAATAGTTTTTGAGGCCAGTCTATAAGGTTTGTCTGTCCCTAGGAGAGATCTTAATTGTTCTTTCTCTGGTTCTTCCTGATGAGCTAGCTCAGTTATAGTTTACTTTCTTTCTCTAAGATAAGGGACTTGTTTTCTAGGACATACCTAGGTTTGGACTTTCCTGTATCCTGTTTGAAATAAAATTTCCTTTGAAGAGAGCTTTTCAGCTCACTTTTTATGGATTAGTTCTCTGGAAATAATATCTCTGAGCCATTAGGCCCTGGGAAATATGGAAGCTTCTAGTGTTTGGGTGTACTTTTCAGCATGGAATCTCTGCCCAGTGAGATTGCTAGGGCAGATCGTCATGGCCACAGTGTTCTCAGCCACTTGCAGCTGAGTCATAGCCCTTGTACTATGAATGAGGCCTGCTACATGGAAGAAGGAAGTCTGAACCTTTAGCCATACTCACCAGGAAGGAGCAGGTTCATGGCTCAAGTGCATAGACACTGTTTTAGTAGATTGAGGGGGCAGTATTAGGGTTTAAACTCAGAAACTAGTGCTGAGTAGGTAGGCACTCTACCACTTGTGTCATGCTCTTCGCCCTTAGATGTTTTAAATGGGTGTTTTTACACTGATTATATACACTTAGGACAATTTCCAGAAACTATTAAGTGCTAGACAATACAGTTTGTGCCAGTTTTGCCCATTTTGCTGAGGAGTAGGTCTATAGGTTGTCTGTATAGTGTTCATGTTCCTCTGACCCTACTATTTATTGTAATTGCTAGTTAGATAAGGGTTTGGTGAGAATTGATTAAAAATTTAATATTTTTGTTTGACAAGAATATACCATAGATAGCGTGTATACATTTCCATTAAAAAGAATTTAATACTTGGTCTCTTTTGTGAAATAAATGGGCTTTGATAATTAATATCTCAATCTAGTTCATAAATGTGTGAAAATGATATTTTATTCCTTTTTTATTTTTATTTTGCTGGTACCGAGGCTTGAATTCATTCAGCTGTTTGGCTTATGGCTGGCACTCTACTACTTGAGCTACACCTCCAGTTCAGCACCCAGAAATAATTTTAATTTCTTTTAAAAATAAGGTCTTTCTAAATTGGCCAGGCATGCTTGGAATTTAGTAATATACCCTAGGTTGGCCTTGAACTTGTGATCCTCCTACCTCAGTTCCCAAATACTGGGATTACAGGAGTATGTTAGACCTGGCAATTATTTTTAATTTTGATGAATGCTACAAAGGAATAAACTAGGTTGATTATAACTAGCTCTGGAGTTGGCAGTGAAATTTAATCAAGGATGGCTTTATAGAGGAAGATGATATTTAATCTGAGGTTTCTTGTAAAAGATGAGAATGAGCCAATTTGGAAGTAGGCAGAGCAAGAGCATTCCCGGCCATGGAACAGTATAATGACTCAAAAGTTTCAAGGAAGATGATACAGTGTAGTTTAGAGCTTAACAAGCAAGAGAGAGAATAGAATGGAACTGAATTTGGAGAGACACAGGAGCCATCTGTCTTAACAGGTTTGTTCAAGAGTGCAGTTGAAAGGTTTTTAAGCAGGGTTGTAATGTGCGCTGAGATGGTGGTTAACAGACACCACTAGCTTCTTTCTGGAGGATGGGTTCTGAAAGGAGGCCTGTGTGGAAGCAGGGACACCAACCAGGAGACTATTGCTGGAGTCTAGACAAGAGACATTGGTAGTCATTTTTATAAAAGTGGTGTGGCACTGGAGATAGATGTGAACTACTCTAAGGTCCATTCAGTGGTAGAACACAGAGGACTTTGATGATAGCTTGAATGAAAGTGAGAAATAAGAAAAGGACATTAGGTTTTTTTTCTTTTTAAATTACTTTACTGTTATTATAAAGGTACTTTGATTGTTATTATAAAGGTAATGTACAGAGGGATTACAATGACATGAATCAGGAAATGAGTACATTTCTTTTCATACAGCATCTTCTTTTCATACAGCGTCTTCTCTTCCTTCACCTTCTCCCAGTCCCTCCCTCCCATCTCCACCCATGAATTGTATAGTTCATTTTCATCCATGCCCAATGAGCTCCAATGCTATAGTTTTTCACCCTTTTTCCCTTGAGTTCTGTGACTTTGGTTTTGTTATTGTTGTTGTTGTTTATCAGTTGTGGGGCTTGAACTCTGGGCCTGGGTGCTGTCCTTGAGCTCTTCAGCTCAAGGTGAGCATTCTAACTACTTAAGCCACAGAGCCACTTCCGGTTTTCTGGTGGTTAATTGGAGATAAGCATCTTATGGACTTTGCTGCCTGGGCTGGCTTTGAACTGTGATCCTCAAATCTCAACCTCCTGAGTAGGTAGGATTACAGGTGTGAGCCACCAGTGCCTGGCAAGATTTATTAACACCTACTATACTAGGTGATAGGCAAAGCCAGAGAATAGACAAGTAAAGATTTCAAGTTTCAGGCTAGGAAGGTGGCTCAGTGGTAGAGTGCTTGCCTTGCATGCCTGAGGCCCTGGGTTCTATTCCTCAGCACCACATAAGCAAAAAGAAAAAAGCCGGAAGTGGCACTGTGGCTCAAGTGGTAGAGTGCTAGCCTTGAGCTGAAGAGCTGAGGGACAGTGCCCAGGCCCAGAGTTCAGGCCCCACAACCGGACCCCCCCAAAAAAAAAAGATTTCAAGTTTCATGAAATCTTGTATACATAGCCTGCTTTAGAAAAGTTCTTCATCCTTCATGTGAAGGATCACATTCCTCAGAAAAAGCCTTCTTCTAAGACCCTTCATCTCTACCCTAGTAATTAAGGACAGAATAAGAATACAGTAAGGCCATATATTAGCTAAAGGATGCTGCATTTATTCACTGTCAATTATTTTCCCTTTATTTTTACTATAGGGAAAAGGAAATATAGAAAACTACAGTGGGGTTCAGTCAACAGGAATCCAAGAGTAATGGTAGGAGTAGCACTTGGTAAAATGAGTGAAGAACTATCAGAACTTTCTGGTGATTTTTGCTAATCACATATTTTCTTCTCCATTTCTTCTCATTTTTCTTTTCCTTTTTTTTTTTTTAAAGGAAAACCCTGAAGAAAAGGCAGTAAATGTAGACACTATTCGGGTAAATAAATTTATCTTTATCCTGATTTTATGTAGATAAATTCATCCAAAGATTTAATATCTTTCCTTTTATCCAAATATTAACTCTGCTGCCTCTACAAAGTCAAAGTGAAATGTTTGCCTTCTGGAGTCATTCCAATGACTTTTTTTTCTGATCCTGGGGCTTGAACTCAGGGCCTGGGCCCTGTCCCTGAGCCTCTTTGTGCTCAAGGCTAGCACTCTACCACTTGAGCCACAGTGCCACTTCCAGCTTTTTCTGAGTAGTTTTAGGTAAGATTCTCATGGGCTTTCCTGCCCAGGCTGGCTTTGAATCATGATCCTCTGGTCTCAGCCTCCTGAGTAGCTAGGGCTACCAGTGTAAGCCACTCACACCCAGCTCCAGTGACTTTTATTCTTCACTCTCTCTGGGAGGTAACTCCATTGTTGGATGCTTGGTGTTGTGAGCATGAACTGTTCATGTATATGAAGCATGATGGTAGTCATGAGGCTGATTTAACAAAATATTATGCAGTTGGCCCATTATTATAGAAATGCCTGCTGTGTACATACTGCAGGCAATAATAAAATAATGCCTGCCACTGCATTATCTATTGGGATGTTAAATGTCTAGGGCATAAGATAATGGCATATTTCCATTTCATAATATTTTGTTCAGTTGAGCAGATAATTTTTTACCAATATAATTAAAGAGATACTTAGTCCTTGAACTATATATAGGTACTTTCTGGTTTGAATGAATGTTACTTAGCCCTTCTGGGCATGCTTTAACTGGATGTATCCAGATGCTGTGAACTTTTCCCAGGGAAATAGAAAGTAAGTATACATATTCAGTAAATAATTTTCCTTTCTCTTTACCTACAGGGACAGAAATGGAATAAGTATTTGGACTATTTGTTTTCAGAAGGGTTACAAGGCTTGAAACTCTTTATACAAAGTAGTGTTCAACGTTTTTATGCCCCCCAGTAAGAGTATAACCAAAGTGATCGACATTAAGTGAAAGTTGATGCTTTCACTGTTTTATAAACTGACTGTTGTCTTCAAGTATTACCCAGCCCTGTCTACTAATGAAAAATGCCCTCTTCCTCGCCAGAGGCTCTTTCCATCATGAAGAGTCACATCTGCTCTGGGGTGAGCTTTGTCACATTCTCATGTACTGTATAAGTTGCATTGCTAAAAGATAACAGGTAATGCATACTAGCAGTTAACCCACATGCACTTATGCCAACCATTTGGCCAGCTGCTTCTTTGAAATCTCCAGGATATTACTGATTTGTTCAATGAACAGCGGCACCAGTACCAAATGAATGGCATATAACACATGGGATTTGCAAAGCCCTTAGTAGCTGATGGCTTCCTGGTAGCAATCTGATGAGGGAAGGAAGTGGAGAAGATTGTCAGGAGAGTGAAGAAGATATTTCTGTTTATATTGTTTTGATTTCATGAAACTGTTCTATTTTATTTGGGTATATATCTATATGCCAAGTTTTTAAATGTTGAGACTTAAACAAACTAATTACTGTTTTGCTATTAGAAGTAATTCTGAACTTTAAAAAAAAATTGATAGCAGCAGCTAGAATACCCTGCTGAAAATTTATACTGAAATTTTGTTTTAGTATTACGGAATAGCTCTCTTCTTTTTAAATAAAATTGACGTAATTTTAGAAGAATAAAGCTGAATTTGTCTTTTAAGGCCAGATCCTTTTTCTTTTTCCCCCCTTTCCATTAAAACAAAAACTGTATTATTAAATGTTCAGACTAGAAATACTATATATCTACTCATTTATTGAATTAACATTTGTTGAGTTTCTTACCATGTGCCAGGTTCTTTTTTTTTTTTTTTCCTGTCGGCTGTGGGGTTTGAACTCTGGGCCTGGGCACTGTTCCTCAGCTCTTCAGCTCAAGGCTAGCACTCTACCACTTGAGCCACAGCACTACTTTCAGCTTTTTCTGTTTATGTAGTACTGAGGAATTGAACGTAGAGCCTCATGTATGCGAGGCAAGCACTCTACCACTGAGACACTGAGAACCCTGTATCAGGTTCTTCTGTGTGCTAGTTTTATACCTGCTTTTATATTGCTTAGAATCCAATGAAGACAAACAATAACAAGCTAAGCAAACATTTCATACTAGGTGCGATTCATAAAATGCCTAGAATAGGGATAGACTTTGGAGAGGCCTGGTACTGCAAATAAGAAGGCTTAGAGAAGACCTGTTTGAGGAGATAATGTCAGCTCAGACACTAGTGAAGGAAGTATATGATCCAAGTGTCTATTTGGGGAAAGGGCATTCTGAGCAGAGGTAAAGTCAAAGGAAAAAGCTCTAAAATGTTGATTTACAAGGTAGATTTAAGGAGTAGCAGGAGGTCAGAAAGATTATAGTACAATGATAAAGTGAGAAGAAGGGTGAGAAATCAAATAGGGAAGAAAGCCAGAGACCATGTCATGAAAGATTATTACAGCCTGGTACAGATGTGTAAATGTAAGCCATTAGAGCCACTGAGAAAGAAAGACATATATGAACATACAGATGTAGAATGAAAGCTACAGGATTTCAGAGGCAGGCATAGAGACCAGTTATTACCACATTTTAGCCAAAGGTTTTAGATCGGTATCAGAGGTTATCAGGGAGGTGGTTAGGTATTAGTTGCAGACTCTTGTTTTGAATTTATCAAAATTTGAATCTGCTGGTAGCTTGGTTATGAGGAGGAGGATATCCTACATGTTTCCTAGGTGACTCTAAATCTCTCTTAGATGTCTCTAGATTTTTGACCTGATTAGCTAGGTACATTCTGAAATTCAGAGATGAGGCATACTAAAGGAATAACCAAAGCATTTGTTGAAATCACCTAGTGCAACTAGAGGAAAGTGGTAGAGATGCTAACATTAAGAAATATGCTAACATTAAGAAATAGAGAGGAGTCAGCAAAAAATTGAGGACTTATCAATGAGCTAGGAAAAAAACCTCAGAAGACTGCTCTCCTTGATGCCAATGAAGAAAGTGTTTCAAAAAATTGTATTTCTATATGTTCTCACAGCAGAAGCTTAAAAAGTTGATCTCTTAATAGTGATTATCAAGAAGCTGGGAAGAGTAGGAATGAGCAGAGAGAGGGTTGGCTAATAAGTATAGAGGTATCCTTGCATAGGAGGAATAACTTCTAAGATTCTATAGCATGGGGTAACTGATTGCCAACAATTAATTGTATACTTCAAAATAGCTACTAGAGAAGATTTTGAATGTTTCACCAACACAAAATTACATGTGTTTGAGATGATTACCTGATCATTTATATTGAAACATCATATTGTGTCTTTAAATATGTATAATTTGTCGACTATTTTGTGAGTGAATAATAAAATCATAAGCTTGAAACCTCAAAAAGGGAGTATTTAATGGCATGGAATGTTACTTGTATTACTGGAAGAAAAGAAGCTTTGGCTGCTTTGAAGTAAATGTGACAACTTTCCCAATGGCAACTTACAAATTAGAGACCTCTCTGTTTTCAAATTAGTGCTCCAAATCACTCCATTTTTTGAGTGGTTAATTGAGTCTCACAGGGACTCTTCTGCCCCGTATAGCTTTGAACCACGACCTTCAGATCTCATCCTCCTAGAGTAGCTAGGATTACAGGCGTGAGCCACTAGCACCCAACTCACCAAAGAATTATTACTAGATCAATGAAGTGGTGTTGTGGCTCAAGTGGTAGAGTGCTAGCCTTGAGCTGAAGAGCTGAGAGACAACTCTCAGGCCCAGAGTTCAGGCCCCAGGACCAGAAAAAAAAATTAGATACCTAAGGGCCAAGCAGAGGCCTCTTTCCTTTTGGAGACTTCTCTGAAATATCACTGGTCGTTGATCTGGTTCACACCTGTAATCCTAGCTACTCCAGGAGGATAAGAGCTGAAGATCGTGGTTCAAAGCTATCCGGGTAGAAAAGTCCCTGTGAGACTCTTATCTCCAATTAACCACTCAAAAAATGGAAGTGGCATTGTGACTCAAAGTGGTAGAGCGTTAGCCTTGAGCAAAAGAGCTCAAGAACAGCACCCAGGCCCTGAATTCAAGTCCCACAACTGCCAAAAAAGAATTCACTAAATACTCATTCACCAGCATGAATATTTTTTTCTAAAATAATGTTGCATGAGGAAAATATATTTTCCCATAAGTATGTTTATTGTTCAGTTATGATCCCCGGGTTCTTTTTTTCCCCCCTTATTTGTTAAACTTAAAAAATTGACTTAAGGTTAGATATGTGACTGCACAGAAAAAGAGAGTTTTAGTTATTTGAAAAAATCTGCTTTGAGGACTATTCACACAACAGAACTAAATAAGAATTGCTATTTTGTTTCCCTACAAAAGATCTGAAAAGATAGGAATTTTGGTTTATTATTGCAGTTTTACAAAGAATGCTTTCTTTGCCTAGTGTTTTTGTAAAATTGTTGTCGGTCCTTCCCCTTCCTTCCTTCTTTCCCCAAGAACAGGATTCAAACTTGGTATTTGATGCTTTCTCTCATTGGCTGATGCTCTACCACCTGAGCCAAGCCTCCAACCCCAAATTGTTGGCGTTCTAAATATTAAGTTCATGTTTAATATTGAAATTTGTATTAAATTTCTGATATTTTCTTTTCTTTTATAGCATACATTTTCCTTTCTCTTGGTTTTGGAATTGGCCTGGAAAGAATACAATAAGCTTATACTCCTATGATATTTTTAACATAGTAATATGGTTTTCTGAACAAAAAAAATCTCTAAAATTGGAATTATGTGCTAAAGATACCTTTTTAATTCATATTATCTTTCCATTATAGGATGGTTTACATAAGGAGCCTATATTTTGATCATGTAACAATTCGGTTTCTAACAAAGATGGACTGTTTTTATTTTACTTTTTGTGTATGTGTGGGGCTTGAACTCAGTCTGGGCACTGTCCCTAAGTTCTTTTGCTCAATGCTAGCACTCTACCACTTTGAGCCACAGTGCCACTTCTGGTTTTTCAGTAGTTTATTGGAGGTAAGAATCTCATGGGGACTTTTCTGCCTGGGCTGGTTTTGAAAGCAGTCCTCAGACCTCAGCCTCCTGAGTAGCTAGGATTTAAGCTTGAGCCACCAGTGCCCAGCTGTTATTAAATTTTTTAATTATCTTTACTTACATTTAACAAAGCAGTTTATGAATGCTTCTTAATCAGTGTCACCACCTTCAACATTCTCAATCCTCCTTCAACTCACTCCTTCCCTTACTTTTCTTAATTTTGTGGTATATGCAATGAATTCTTGAGATGGACTGTGTTTTATAGAAGATATTGGATTGACATTAATGCTTTGTTTTCATATATATATATAGGGTGTCTTTCCAAGGAACATAATAGTACACATGAATTAAAGCTCACATTTAACTATATAACAGGATAATATACTTATTCAGCTTGCCAGAAGAGTATTAGCTTATCTAATTAGATTTCATGCCTAGAGCTGAAGTATTTTAGGTTTTTTTTTTTTTTTTTTTTTTTTTTCTGGTCCTGAGGCTTGAACTCTGGGCCCTCGGCAGTGTCCCTGAGTTTCTTTTTACTAAAGGTGAGCTCTCTATCACTTGAGCTACAGCACTACTTCTGGCTTTTTTGAATAGTTTATAGAGATTATAGCCTCATGGAATTTCCTGCCCAGGCTGGCTTTGAGCCGTGATCCTTAGATCTCAGCCTCTTGAGCAGAGCTGAAATTTTAAATCAAAGTCCTTCATTTCTTCTGCTTTATTTTACAAATGAGCTTTATGGCTTTGGAAAATCACTGAACCACTTTACCTCCTGATTTCCTCTATGGTAATATTTAGATTCCAGTTTCTGTCTTTTCAAGGTTGTGGCATTTAGATGATAGAAAAGTCTCTAAAACTTCATTGAAAAGACAAAAAGGGGAAAAAAGATGTAAAAGTTTTCCTTAACTTTCGAGTATATCTAGCCAAAGTATAACTTAGAAAGATGCAATTGAAGATTGTTCTAGACAGTAGTAGAATCACTGAGGTGATTTGTATTTTCTGTAAGTTAATATTCAAGGATGAACAGGGTTCCTGAGTCTTTTTAAACAAAGTGCAAAAATATGACTGAACACCTGTTTAATCGAATCATATCCTAAGTATTTATGAGGGTCTCAGCCATGAATACAATGGCACAGTTGTGTGTTGTACCTTTTTCCTCCCTTACCTGTCTGATATCTGGGGTAATGAAGCAAAGATAGTTGTAATTTTCATTTCCAGCTTTTTAAAGTTAGAAATGAAGCATTATTCTGTTTATAATTCACTTTGTGGACTAAGTTAAATTTGAAACTTTATTTATTCCTCCTGCATACTCAATTGAAAATCTCTCTGTTTCTCTCTTTCTCTCTGCTGGGTGTGTGTGTGGGGGGGGGGTATATGTTGTTACTGAGGCCTGAACTTGGGACTCAGGGCCTCACACACTCACTTGGCTTTTTCTGCTCAAGGTTGACACTTTACTACCAGAGCCACACTTCAAGTTCCCAGTATAGGACTTTGGAATGACATGCAAAGAACTTACTGGAATTTCTCTGGAGAACTATTTGTTTTGTTGGTCATAGTTAGCAAAGGCAATCATTCCGGATCTCTAGAAGATGACCAAATGATTTACAACAGAATGAGAATCACAACTTTGAAATTTGAAGAACTTATTAACAATACTAGTAATCCATAACATCAAAGTTAGAGCCTACATTTATTCCCCAACCAATTTCATATTGCAGAGGAGCTATTGTGGAAGATGTATCACTGTGTTCTTGGCTGCAGTGTGGTAGTTTCCCTCTCTCCCAGATAATGCTCAGTAATAGAGATTCTGCCAAGGAAAGGTTCAGAGTAGTAATCACACTGGCAAGAGCCTGCCCTGTCTTGAGAGGCCTGACTTCCTATTATGGAGGGGCGTATGCCTCCAGGAAATTGCTCAGAACAATAGAACAACTAGCCAGCTGTGAAGACTAGCAGCATGGTATGGCACCAATAGAAAAAGACTAAAAGTTCAACAGAGAGGTGAAGAAAACCAGCAAAGGATCACCAGCCCTGGTGATATGGAAGAGCATACATTTACCTAAGGCTATACTCTTAGAAGCAATTGAACAGGGAACTGCTTTGGTATTAGTTCCTGACGAAGACAAATTTGTGAACTTCCTAAATTGTGAAAGCAGTCTCCTAGCTAGACAGAACAAAATGGATGAAAAGTTTCTTGGCTTTGGGAGCTTAAGCATAACTTCTAATAACCAGTGGCTGACTTCTAAACTACTGATCCAGGGATGAACCTTAGGAAGCCAGACTTAAAGGTACAGACTATGAACAGGGATATCAGAAGCTGCACACTAGGGGAACAGACTTCACAGTAGTAGTGCAATACAGTCACCAAATAAGTGAACAAACAGCAGCAAACCCTACTGCAGAGAGTCAATATCCGGACTTGCTACAATAGAGCACCTAGTGTTTACTTCAGCAAATGTTAAAGAAACAGGAGCCTATATGAAGCAAATACAAGGGGAAAAAGGACAAAAGAATTACCTTTTAGAACCAGGTGCAGGTAGCTCACACCTGTAATCCTGGCTACTCAGGAGGCTGATATCTGAGGACCATGGTTGGAAGCAAGCCTGGGCAGAAAATCTGTGAGAACTCATCTCCAATTATCCAGCAAAGGCAGAACTGGAGGTATGATTCAAGTGGTAGAGCAACAACCTTGACCAAAAAAAGCTAACCAAGAGGTCTTGAGTTCAATCTCTAGTACACACACACACACACACACACACACCTATATTGGGTCCATTATAAATGGTACATATTGTATAACCGAAGTCATGAAAATGTTCTAAGTAGACAAGACAAGTAGTTAAGTGGTTGCCCAGGGGTCTGGGGTTAATGAGAATAAGGTAGGAAGTACTGTATAGTGACTGCTGTGATTAATATACTGTGTATATTTAATGTATATATATAATATAATTTTATTAGCTTATAGCACTCATGTGGAAGGGATTTCATTGTTTAATTTCCACAAGTGTACAATGTATTCCAATCAATCTCACCCTTTATCAGTCTTTCTTCCCCTCTTTCCCCTTCCCAAACCAATTTCAGCAGGATTCATTGTTCTACTTTTATAGTTGCAGATAATCTACTTGGACTATATTCATACTCCACAAAAATATTTAAATTATGTAAATAGAATAAAAATGAACTGTACACTGTAAGTGAATAAATTTCATGTTGTATAAGATATATTAATAAGACAATTTAAAATTAGTAAAGACTGTCAAGTTTGGAAAAGATGAATAATCTTAAGGATCTTGTGTTTTTGTACTAATACTCTTAAGCTGTATAACATACATTTAGAGGAAT